AGTAGTAGTAGTAGTAGTAGGTAGTAAGTAGTAAGTAGTAAGTAAGTAGTAGTAAGTAGTAGTAAGTTAGTAGTAAGTTAGTAGTAAGTAGTAGCAAGTAGTAGTAAGTAGTAATAAGTAGTAGGAGTAGTAGTAGTAGGTAGTAAGTATGTAAGTAAGTAAGTAAGTAGTAGTAGTAGTGGTAGTAGTAGTCGTAGGAGGAGTAGTAGTGGTTGTTGTAGCAGTGGTAGTGGTAGTGGTAGTGGTAGTGGTAGTGGTAGTAGTAGTAGTAGTAGTAGTAGTAGTAATAGCAGTAGCAGTAGCAGTAGCAGTAGCAGCAGCAGCAGGAGCAGGAGCAGGAGCAGTAGCAGTAGCAGTAGTAGTAGTAGTAGTAGTTAGTAGTAGTAGTTAGTAGTAGTTAGTAGTAGTTAGTAGTAGTAGTAGTAGCAGTAGTAGTAGTAGTAGTAGCAGCAGTGGCAATAGCAGCAGCAGGAGGAGCAGCAGCAGTAGCAGTAGCAGTAACAGCCGCAGCAGGAGGAGGAGTAGGAGGAGTAGTAGTAGTAGTAGTAGCAGCAGCAGTTTAGTGTTGTTGTTGTTGTTCTATTAGTAGTAGTGGGAGTGGTCGGAGCAATAGCTGGCTTTTTGTTATAGCGAATCTGGTGGGTAAATTTACACCCCGCTTTTGTACGCATTGGGTCGGAAATAGATAAGGATGCCCTGCTTGTCACTTGTGCCGGAGCCTGCGCTTCCAGCTCAACTTCCGAATCCCCCATTTCATTTTGATACGGATCCGGTCTAGCACTCTGTGGCTTGCAGTTCTTGAACTCACTCTCTGACATATCCTGCTAACATGTCCCATTAGCACTCTGTGGCTTGCAGTTCTTGAACTCACTCTCTGACATATCCTGCTAACATGTCCCACCACAGATTCATAAGCTTCGTAAGTGTAGAGTAGTGGACAGGGAAAGATGTGTGTTGGATGGGAAAGACGCGTATAGGACGGGAAAAGACATGTATTGGACGGGCAAAGACGTGGGCTTGATGGGAATTTCCGGGTAGAACAAATTTGTCACGCGGGGCTTTTCTTCAACAAAATGGAGCCCTGCCGTTTTGACAAGCTCCAAATCTCGTGAGGGAGCTCCTTTGGGATGGACACACCCTTCGACCCACAAAGGTATCTCAATACTTCTGACATAGCTGCATGTTCTCATTTGTCACCGAATGACAGGCTCCGGAAGTGGAAAAATGCCACCCAATACAGCCCAAAGGGCGCCAAAGGGCTACAATCAGAAAACGATAGAAAACGTGCATTTCATTGACTTTTGTGTCTTTTCCTGAAAGACGTGTAGTGCACAGGAATTTCTGAATGGAAAATTATGTTTGATCATTTGAGGTTGCAGGTGTATATATATAATATATAATCTCTCTCTGTTTGCCTGTAGGGCCACATCGCCTGGTCAAACGAGGTTCGGTGTCTCTTGGTGCATCGGAGCGGCTAATGGCTGAGACTTGTCCGTCCACTCACCCTTGGCTAAGGCCTGTGGCAACCTGCGTATGCACTGGATCTGGCTTGGTTCGTCTGGATCTCCCTCCGATCTTCGAGATTGTTACATCTCACTTGCACTAGCGTGTTGCCACAAATCGTGCCGAGAACCGAAGAACTTGGTTGCTTCGCCAGCGTGGAGTCTCTTGCTGATACACTCTGGATACACATGAAATCCAATCTAGAAACCTGAAACTAAACATTACAAATCCATCCGAAATCTGGGTCCGCAAACATGCCAGTTCCTTTGAGCCACCTCGCCCGACTGAGTCGGATGTTCAGGCTTATGTTCCGACTGAGTCTTATGTTTTGGAGTTCGTTCACTCCATTTTGGGTCCAAACCGTGGAGCGAAACCGTTCTTCGGTTCTGTTCTGGACCGGGTCTAATCAACCGGACCTGCCGTGTTTGGCACTATTGGAGGATGAGGAAGCACCGAATCACCCTCAGAACTTCCCCCAACTCGCGCGCCTGCGAGCAAGCGAACGTGCGTCATGCATGGGTGTTTTTGTGGATGTTCTGATTCAGAAGTCTGGCACTTAAGGCCATGATCACACACCAAGTGATCCGACTGATCTGATAGCCAGGTCGCTTATGTGAGATGATGCCATGAAGCATCAAATAGTAAAGTCTGGGAGGCAGCCTAAGATGCTTCCCTTCCCGGTCCCGCTTGCGCGCTTCGTTCTCCGAGAGTCAGGTCTACGTAGCATATACCTGGACCTACAAGGGGTTTTTCGGAGGTCCCGGATGGTGGTGGGCTGGGGCTTCCAGCCAGGTGACCCCGACATGAAGGTGCTGGTATGTATTCCCTCTGTGTTGTCGTCTGCTTGTCACATCGGGGGACCCAAGCAGGATCCACACACACACACACACCACAGACGAAGAGAGTCTGCATGCCGGCCACACTGTGACCCACGACACCCCACTTCCGGAGAAATTGGCAATGGCCATCCCCCAGGGCCTGTCCCTCTGCAGTTCTTCCACTTCAACGGGATAGGTATACCCTATATTAAGATGGACCGTTTTTACACAGCACGTAACCAACTGTGCTTGCCAAAGTATACGGCAATTTCACGGCGAATGCGTTCAAGCAACTTCTGCCCCATGATGGAGGAAAAGTCCTGGGTTGAGTCGGATGAGTCATTTCCACAAAAACAGCCAAACGGCAACGTTCGAGTTTCAAATGCGACTAAAAAACCCTCTCTCTCTATCCACACCATCTCTATCTTGCTCTCTCTCTCTCTCTCTCTCCAGGGCCTGACTGTCTCACAGCTGTCCCACTAAAAAAAGTCACTCTGAACGAAAGTGCTGCACTAAAGTCTAGGGGGACTGCGGCTCAGGAATCTTGGCCTAAATAGTATACCCTATCAGAATCCGAGTCCGGGCTCTCCATGGGACCTTCTCCACCGTTTCACGCAGGGGTCCGCCCCTTCAGTCCCTCTCTGTTGCTTCTCGACCTCTCGACGTCCGACGACGCCACCGGTGCCAGCGGAGTGACCAGGTGAGGTGTGCCACATGCGATTGACCCAGGTGGCCTTATCAAGGACCCCAAAGAAGAGTGACCACTTAAGGAAAGGAGCTCCTGGTGAACGCATGATTGAGGAGTAGTTATGTCGGAACTTTAATCCAAAAAGGTGGGTGGGAGGATCAACCCAATTTAGAAGTTCCAGAGAGCTAGAATGCCCTCACAATCCCCATCTCCCTGCACTGCAAGCGCGCGAAAGAACACCCCATGCCCTGAAACCAGGGCTCCTGAGGCACAGCCGGCGGTGTGCCACCGGGTTTGCAGGCACCCAACGGGCGGATGGCATGGTCTTGCAAATGCAGCACCGGAGAGTTTTGCACCAAGACCTGCAAGACTGCAGCGGTGACTGGGCGACAGCACAGATTGGGCGACCCATGTGACAGGGCGTCGGAGAAAAGCACCTCCATGGTCCGACATGGGTCTACGTCCTTTGCGATTGGTCTTGGAAATTCAGACACTGCGGCAAGTGCTAGAAGCCAAAGGACATCACCATATCCTGCAGGAAATTCTAGACTTATATAGAGGCTTCATGACTTCCCAATTGTGCAGGTCCCTGCACAAGGGTAAGGGATCAAAAAAACTGAAAAGGGAATCAACAAAATATTCTAGCCCACAGAGGATGGTTGGGGTTGAGCATCGGCTCAAAAAGTCGTTACATTCCATCACTACGTGAAAAGCTGCGGGGCTATTACACTTGAATGCTCATGCATGGTCCGGCCAAAGAAGGAGGACAATCTGCAAGTGCGATGGGCGACCCTTTACATAGTTAGTTTTCATGGCAGGCGCGGTGCAAGAGTGCAGATTTCGTGGTGCTGGAGGGGGGTTGGGGGGAGGGCGCAAGCGCCTCCCCCCAAAGTGAACCAAACGTTAAAACACAGCACCACAAAAGAAATCAGTAGAAACTAGGTACCCTATCGCCCTTTCAGTGAAGGGCATCTAAAAGTGCACAAAAGGACCAAAGGCAACAAAAAGCATCAGTGAAAGAACAAGGAGAAACCCCTAGGAAACCCGCAGACCAGAGGACCAGGAGAGCAAAGGACCAGGAGACCACGGGACCGGACCAGGACCAAAGGACCAGGGGGCCAAAGGGCCTTTGGACCAAAGCACCAAGGGACCAAAGGACCAAGGGACCAGGGGACCAAAGGACCAGTGGACCAGCGGACTAAAGGACCCGCAGACCACAGGGCCAGGAGCAGAAGAGGCCTATCAAGGACTTTGTTGTATACTTTATTACGTTTTTGCTGATAATCTGTTTACTTCTTTTTCATGCTAATGTTACTTTTTTGTTGATCTAGATGCCCCTGCACATCATGTTCCCACACTAGCTCACCCCGTTCAACCACTCAAGGCTGGTTCATGCTGGCATGGCATGCTGCTTTGGAACCTGATTGGTCAAAAGTATGGCGTCCATGGCCCCGACAACCGCGCCAGCCACCCACTCGTTTTTGTTGGCAACAGCACCTTGCAAATGCAATAGCCCTCCACATGATCTGTCCGCATCTCATCCGTGGGGAAGGTTTGCATCCAGTTGATCAATGGAGCTTGTTTGATGATGTAGACCTGGGTGCCAAGTGCCACCAAACCGGGTTCTTCAGGACGGTTTAGTCCTCCGCCTGGTTCTGTTTAGTCCTCCGGGTTCGGTTCTGTTTTGCCGAAATGGACCATTTTTCCACCCAATGATGACTGGAGCATGAACACACCAATGTCACAACCTGTCTAATCACAGCAAGTGCCCACATATGCCCAACATTCATCAGCTATAACACTCGCGTTGAGAACACCACGGAGCCATGTTGAGCCCCAATTGGGTGAAAGAAGCGAGGCAACAAATCCGCAGTGTCCAACAAATCCCCAACATTGAACCAAATATAACCAAATCAGGTCGCCCAAAACACCTGAGATGATGCACCATGGATAGCCAAGCATCAGCAGCATCAAAGTTGAAGCGAGGTGCTTGCTGCCTGGAGGAGCACTAGCTCGGCTTTGTCGCCAAAAGTGTGCAAACAAACCGACCAGTAAGCATCGAGCTAGGAAAAAAACAACAACACACAAACACATACAAACACAACAATATAGAAGACCGGTACGAATGTTAGGGAAACAACACGACAGGGAGACGCCAGTAGCGTGGGCATAGGGGCTTGTGCCGCAGCAGGGGGCTACCCTTGAATTACTATAGCTAGATCCAGCTTCCCCTCCTTCAAAAGAAAACCTCCTGCTCAAAGTTCGGCAGTTCTCAGGTGAAGAAGTGTTCAGACGGATTGGCACTGAGGCACTGAGACGAATGGGATTTGAGTAGCCAAATGTGTTCCCCAAAGATAAAATCCATGCAATTCCTCGATGGAATTCCCTGGAAGATGCTCGGATCTCAAACACTGATGCAGTTGCAAGAAGTCTTCAGACGATTTCAGACTTCAAATACTACTTAATGCAGTCCAAAACAATTCCAAAGAGTCAGTAATGATCAGTAATGTCACTCCATTCTTGCCAGGGCCCGCGACAACTTCCTCACTTCCTCCAACAATCCCCCAAGATCGACGTCCATTTTTGACCCATTTTGACCCAATGAGCAGGTGGAGATTCTTCACTTCACCAAATACGGCTCCTGTTTCAGCTCCCAAGCGATCAGATCTTCCTCTTGCCCCACATCCCCAACGAAAAAATCACCAGAACCGCCCGCGTGCTTCGGGTGGTCGACCGCGTTCAACGACGCTTCGATCGCGCGATGTCGATCGCGCGTGGGTGTCATTGGGGCCAAAGCTTCTGCTGCGGCTGGAAGGTGCTGAGGTTCAAGTAGGGATATGTCAGGCAGTACTCAGTGCCCGCTAACATGCACGCGTCCACGAACCTCACGATCGCACCGTGGAGCCGTGTCCCGAGCCGGGCGGGCTTCGTCCAACACCGAAAAAGGGACTGAGGGGCGCCTGGGGACTGCGGAGATGGAAACGGCACGTGAATCAATGGCTGGGTGTGGCCTCTATCTGAATTTGATTGGACTGAGAACCCTCTCAAATGCCACAAACATGTGCAAATCATGTCATATCGTGTCAGGTATAATACGTATAATATATCCCCATTGCTACCGGACAGTGAGGTCAGCACACCTCCGCTTTGCTACACAAAGGATCACAAAGGTATTGCAATTTCATTTATCTACTTTTAACATGTTTAAACTGTAAATTATCGTCAAAAAGACTAAATTTGTCACGTTCAAAGAAACAGAAAAAGGATGAAAAAAGGTCACTCCTTATTGTGTGGTCACGTTCACCTCTGCCATCGTGAAGGTGATGAAAACTCCAGATTAGTGCGATAAATGTTGTTCTTTATGTTTTCGTTTTTTGCTGGTTCATCGTGTTGTTTCACCAAGTACGGAGTCCATGGTATGGACCAACTTGTGCTGATGCGTCGTGCTTCGAAAGAATCTACATTACAGCAAAACCCTACCTCAACCAAAGGTATTACGATGCTACCAAAGAAATTATGATGGACAAAATATCTAAAACATAGTACGGAATGCAGATGAGAGGTCAAAACAAATGGCTTCGTGTTCGGGCTCTTTTTGCGTACCAAAACTGAGGCAAATCACGTGAGAAAGAACTCAAAACAATAGAGTAATTACGAGCAGTCCGATCATTTTACTTCACGTGTAGTTCATACAAAAACACGTTTGGAACGACCTTTGGCCCATTTTGGCCCTTCGACGTTGCTTCTTTCTCGCCTTCAAAGACTTCTGCAAAACACCACATGCCGGTGCAACAACAGTGTTTGCACGAGCTGAGCAGCTCGTAGGTGTTTATGCTATCAATGCTGCAAAATGTTGCTCTTTTTCTCTTCTGGGTACAGCAAGAAGGTTCTTCGACTCTTGTTTCTCCACCCAGGCAATTCTTTGTAAGAACCCACCTAAAGGTTTGCCCAAACCTGGCTCGATAGCCAAAGCATAGTTTAACTGACCAAAAAATCTGTCGGTGACATCCATTTTACATAAGACCCTTTATATATATTAGCTTAAACTAAATGAGTAATATAAAATTGAAACAACGTGGTCGACCACACTCATTTTGGGATGTCTGTCTGTAGCAACGGGGATTGGCAATATAAATAGTGTATATACATATATATATAGTATTTGATAGAGGTCCACGTCCAGTCGTCCAGAATCTGGAATCATCATCCCTGAACTTAGGGAAATGATGGAGAATGTTTGCCCTTTCACAAAGGTTTGGATTTGTTGATATCATGAAGCTCACTTGACTTCCGAAGGTCACAAACAAGCATATGCTTGATGTTTGTCCTCTACTGTAATGACCTCCTCCTCTCATGTGTCAAGGAGCTCGTCCCAGGACAATTGCCACTTGTCCAAGACGCGTCCTTCGCCATCGTCAGTGACAGGGGGAAGAATCAGGTGCTGGCATCGGCGTCCATGTCCAGCCAGCGATTTCCACCCACCTTTTTCGCTGGGGAACCTATCCCAAAACATCCATGGGACGGGAATAGTTATATACCTACATTGGGGTCATAAATGGGGTAGGTATAGATGTATGTAACAATTTGCATGGATGGCCTGGGTACGGTCGTTACTTCCTGATTTTGTGGATTCTTGATCTTGCTCGACAGTCCAATGTCACCAATGTCACAAACGCGCCGTCTGACGGTCCCAAGTCTACCCAGTCAAAGGCTTGCTGGGAGAAGTTCAAATGAATCACCACAGACTTCACACCTGGGACGTCAGGCGCAGATGTTTCGGGTGGGGATGGGACCCATGAGGCTGCAGCTAGATGGCTTTTGTAGATGGGGGGAAGCGATGAAAAGGCCCCACCCCCAGCCCCCTCAGGGTCTTAAGTGTTTAACCATTCTGGCGGCATGTGAGAGAGGTTACCTGACATGTATTCCGCATGTCATCCACGCTCAGAATAGTATATAACTTATATAACTATCTCGCAATATCTAGATGCGCCTCCCAAACAAACCTATATGAAACTATATGAAACTTCACTCAAACGGATGCACCGGATGCACTTGTCGATGTTTGATGATGTCGACGTATGCTTGAAACTCAGCTAAACCACTCAAACAAGCATGCCGTGTTTGACGCACTCACACTTGAGTCATGTGCATCAAACATCGACAGGTCATGGCTTAGTTACTAGTTGTCCAACATGTTGGAAACAGCGAAAGGTGTCATTGACATAGGGCACAAGCCTGGGATCTCGTCCCAAAGGAAGATGGCAAACCGGTGCAAGTATGTGCAAGTCACAATTCGTTCAGCAAAGGCCAGTAAACAATGACCACAATTAAACCTACAGTGGTTTCAGAGTAGATGATAGGTTGCACAAACCTTAAATGTCTATATACATACGGGGGTCCAAAATGGTCCAAATATATGAACCACCTTTTGGGGAAACCACTGTATCTTCCCTGCTTTTGGTGAGGGGGGCCTAAAGACAAAACCCAAAGTTTCGGCGACCTTACCCCAGATCTGACCCCCCCCAAAAAAAAACAAAACAGTCTGTCGAGGGCACCATAGAGCAGCAGCCCCGGAGGGCCAAAAATGGTCTGGACCACGCCCTGCTCCGCAAAGTGTGCCAGCTGAGCTCCGGCAAAGTACGGCGCTTGCAAGCATTCGTACCCGCGATTTCCTAAAAAAAGGAACACAGCGGAGATCTGGGCGGATCCGACAGCAAGGAGGGACGAGTGGACGGTGGTGAAGGAGGGGGACTTGGTGGCGGTCTGGGGCTTGGGCAGTGGTGCGAGATGAAACAAATATCAGCTGAGTTTGATAGATCAATCTTGGCCATTGTTGCATGTGACAGCTTTTCATTTCAACTTTTTGGTGGGCAGGCGTTCAAACATGCAAACATGTTAACAGAACAAGGTGAGTCTGTATCTTTTTTGATGAAGTATAGATGTCCGAAACAAACAATAATATATACTATAAAGTAGTGTTGGATAGTTTTGGATAGTCACGAATCCCATCAGAAACACCTTGGAATCGAGATATGCTGTGCGTTGCAGTGCGGAACAGTGCCACCAGTGCCCACCTCTAAAGTTCCCATCCCAGCACATCCGCCCAGATGAGACACACAAAGAACTCGTTGCCTTATGCAGTGGTCTTGGACGTAGTCTTGAAGATGAGAACATAGCTCGGTCAAAGTCCAACAATAAACATCAATCAATGAGCCCTTCACGTGTGCAGATTGAGCGTATGAGTCTGATGAGCATGCCCTGGTTTCAGCCAGAAGTCCGGTGAACTCCAGGCTCCATTGTGCTGCTGACGTTTGCGTCCATTTCAGTCCATGTTCAGCCAGAAGTCCCGTCACTCCGGGTCACTCCGTGTCACTCCGTGACACGTCCCACAACCCGCCGTCTTAGCCAAGAGACTTAAGTGATGATAGATGAAATACACAAAGTCGCCGTTAATTCGGCTCGTGGACACCTCAACAGCTGTTCGTCTCGTTTTGGGGCTACGGCTAGTACTCTCAATGATACTATTTTTTAGAAATCTAAAGAAACACTAAGAGGAGTTCAGTCAACATCAACAGCTGTGTCAGCAGTCAACATCAACTCCTCGAGCTCTTCAAACACCTAGGGCACGAGGAGTTGATGGTGTGTTTTCCACCTTTTTTGGCGCCAGCTATCTGCGGTGGCGTGTTGACCAGTGTCTACCCAAGCTCCTTATAGCCGAGATCATTTCGGAGCCTCAGGATCTCAGCATAGATGTGAGGCTTCACTAGTGGCAAATACTTTCTGGTCTCCACCATTTCTTCGTCATCATTCGTGTGGTTGAACGCATTTACGGCATCGGGTCGTTCGCGCGGATGCTCTTGAAAAGCAAGTCCATTTTCATCACCACGGTTGAGGTCTTCATTAACTGCGTCATCCAGGATGGCTTGTCTCTGCTTCTCTGTAATCTCGTCCCGAAACATGAAGCGGACGATCTCCTGGCCCACAAGGCGGCCAAAGCTCCGAAATATCTTAGGAGGGCGGAATCCCCAAGCATCTATCAGGTCCAGCCCTGCTACTGCTAAACAGATTAACTAGTTGCAAAGAATTGCTGGCCTACTTTAGAGAAGGGAAGGGGCTTCAAATATTACAACATTCGATAAATATGTGTCCGATCCAAAGCTCCTGCACCGTCCGATTGAAGCTCTGCGAACTACTAGTGATCGTCTCGAAGCGAACAGCCATCATGTCCGGCTTCCTGACCTTGTAGGCATCAACCATGGTGCTAATCACGTCGAACATGCGATTCGCCATCTCTGGTATCCCCCGCTCTGGGTTCATCTCTGTCATGTTTACACCTAACTCTGTGGTTGCCTCTGCACCCCGATGGTGATAGACATAAGAGGAGACAATCATGTCCAAAGGATCTCGGATCATCATCACTCCACGAAAGCCACCTGCTCCGGCCGTCAGACCGCGCAGCTCTCGAACGTCGTCACCTGAGGTATGATGAGTGAAACGAATCCTTGCAGGATGCAAATGACAATCCTGATGCCTGGGCGCCTTTGAAGTCAATGGGCCGCCTCCGCCGGCATAGTTGCAACTATCCATGCCGCCTAGGATATCAAAAGCCCGCCGCATGATGTTGTGCAACATTTCGGTCCCAGTTTTGTGGCTGGCACCCACAAAGTAGGCATGTTGTTGCCATCCACCCAATTGGGTCTGCCGGGTCTGCTTGTGTCGCCCCATGTGCGTTTGGAAGAGCTGAGGGCCACAGTCGGTCTCAAAGGTGGGCCATCCGGAGGACGGAGCCCCAAGGGCACCCACGAGACTCCACAAAAGCATTGCATGAAAAGCATGAAAGGTGGAGTGGGGTTGCTCCACCATTGACATTATGTGGCCTGAGCACTTTGAGCCGATGAACCCGAGAGCATGTCAGCAACAAGTCTGCCTGGCAAGGTCCAACCCGAACAAACGGTCAATGTACAACACAAACATTGGAAAAATAACATGAAACAAGTAGGCATGTTTATACACATGTCTGTATATATCTATATATGATATTATATATGTTTTGTGTGTGTGGCTCCAAACGCTCTCTGGGCCCACCCTGTGCCCGCCACCCCTTGGTGACTCATGGGGGAGGACCCCCCGCAAGGACACATACTTTTTATCAAGGAATTGTATGCGAGCAAGGGGGTGGGAACCCCCCTCAAATAGAATATTTTGTTCAAGGGAACTGTATGCCCTGCTATGCCCTGGTTGTTTTGTATGCCTGGGGGGGTCTGCAGCAGCCCTAGTGCAAATTGTATGAACCAAAGAAATCATTGAACATTATGGAAGCTGATTTTTCGGATAATGTATGAAAGCAAAGGCGGGGAAAACTGCTCTGAGGCAGCATACTGTTTTCAGGGAAATGTATGAAAGTGCAAGGGGGCGGTGAATATCCATAATGTTCCACAAGCATCATATAATATATACATAATGAGTCATAATGATACTTACAACTTCCAAGTAGAAAAAAGACACGTCCCGTCTGAACATCACTTCCCAGGGAATGACATCTGGAGACCGGGACATGCATTATTGAAGGCCTTCTTGAATATACCTTTATGTGCCCGGGCTATTACATACATATGGATCTTCAAACGGGACTACTTAAACTTTTGCCGGAGGCATCTTCAATGAAAACATGATATGCATATCACGACAAATGCAGTTGCCAGTGGCGGCTGCTTTGGCCTAAAGGGCCTATGCTTGTCTGAGTATGTGGTTGATATCGACAGTGTTGACCCACACCACTAGACAAACAACTGACTAAATACGGGGGTCCCTGTTTTCAGTGCGTTTCATGCTTTTCGCCCAGGGGCAGCGAAGCACTTTTGTGCCGCTGACTTCTCCCCCTGAGCCAAGTAGTTCCAGGCCATGTCCTCAAGTGAAGGCGGTCGGAACTGGTGGGACGAAGGCGGTCGGATCAAAGAAACACACCTCGTTCCCTTCGCTTTCTTTATATGGAAGACGCTTTCTTCGCACTCGTGCCCTATACCTTTGGATCCAGAAGATCAGCAAACCAGGCCATTTCCCCTTCCCACCACGAGTCCCTTTTGAACGGTCAAAATCTACAGACTGAACTTGAGGATTCTGGGGGCTCTCATCCGGGGGGAACTCACACGCTAGCCCGCTAGCATGACGTTGCATGCAAAAGCCGCATTGGCGCAGGTCTCTGTCGGAACAAACAGCACCCAGCATCCATCTGATGATCCATGCGGCTGACGAACATGGAATGCTGCGGTCCTGCATGTGAAGCAGTGAATACCAAAACTCTGGCAGCTCCAATCGACACAAAAAGCATCCCATTCCAAGTACAAAACCTGGTAGGAAGGGTCAAGCACTTGCGCGATAAAAACGTCCCGTTTCCGGCTCCAGTTGTAGCATGATCAAGCCACCCCATCCACGAGGGATCGGAGCCCTTCGGTCACGAATGAACTGACTTATCTGTAAATGATCCCAACCGCTATGAACTGTCTGCTAGTACAAGTATCCTGCCACCCAAGAATTTCGTTTCGACATGTCTTTCTTGTTGTGGACCATTCCCCCAAACTCGGGCAAACTTTGCGAACAAACTCTTTTCTACGTGCTATGATGCTACGCGCTGCATAGCACGGTGCAAGTGTCAGGGTCTTATCTGACATCCCCTCCACGGTGGTTGCAACCTGCAACAGCCTGCCATTTCGCACTTGTCCTGGTGCCACGCCCTGAAAAACAAAGAGGGGCGTAATGCCAGCCCTTAGCCGCCGAGCTTCAACATGACATGTTGCAATGACCTACCTCACAAATTTGATCATGAATCATGTATGACTCGTTCGATTTGCGCATGCAAAACTGGAAGACGATAATCATAATAATAATCGAGCCGAATCGGCCAAAGAACACTTGGAGAATGATTGGCTTTGGGTGTGTGTGCACAAGTACCAAAAGAAATCAACGGAGAGAGTCCAGTATTTTAAGCCTCTGTAGTCCTGCACCCATTTGACTCATGATGAATCTGTGAGTCACAGCCACTCTTTGAACGCATCCAGCTCTTTGTCAACGAAGCCGAACATCCCTGGCCGCAGGGTGCCGCAGGTTGGCCTCTTGAGATGACCACGAAAAATCCTAGGAAGGTGCCCTGAAACACTTGTTTTAAAGAGTCAGGAAATCAACTGGGACAATAGGGACTCGGGATGCATAGCATTTATTGCGCAAAAGCATAGATCCCAGTTGAGGAGTACATTGGATGCTGCTTCCTCCTATGACAAGTTGTTTTTGTCTATTTCGATCTGTTTCAGGATTCTGTCTTCTATGTTCTGTGAGAATTGGCGTCCTCTCGCTCCTCTACAGGTCTTGGCGTATATATAAATGACATTGGACCCAACCACCTGAAGCCTGAAACCTGATGTCTTGGCTCACAGGTCATGTCCTGCGTGGGGCCTCTCTAGCCGGTCCAAACCACCAACTGGTCGAATCCACTGCGCCACACTCCGGTCGCGCCTGGTGGGATGCCACCCAAAGCATCGGCGAAGGGGTCCTTGAGTGCTTGGATGGAGCGAAGCCAAAAGACCGCGTCCACGCCCACGTGGACCCCTCGAAGCCTCAGGTTCGCACCAGATCGTCACGATGATGGGTGACCCAATTGGAGCGACGCACCGTAGCGTTGAAAATTCGACGCACCGATGCATCTGCCGTCTACGGGTACGTATATGGAACGAGGACCAAAATAAAACTGTTTGAGTTGTGGACTCGGCATATCTCGAGCCTTAGTTATATACATGCCTCTTTACAGGGCATTCCATGATCCTCCCGTTTTTCCCGAAGCCACGCCGAACCCGTTTCCGAGACCGGGCCGCTCGCTGAGCTTGCCACTGTACACCAGGCCTTGGTCCTGCGTGGGAAAAAAGGATGTCAACATGAATAGACCATAAGCGCGACTGGAGATTCAAATACCTATAGCATAGCAATACCCATAGCATTTCGTAGCGTCCATCCAGTGCTGGGTTCTGCTTCCTTCCAATCGCAGTCCAGTGCTTGGCATGAAACTCATGAAAAAAAACCGGCCGCATCTTGAATCTTCATGCTGCTTCATCTCCTGCAAATGGGTCTGGAGATGTCTGACTCTCATGGCGCCGTTTTTGCCACCTCAAAGCACCTCGCACCCGTAAGCAATCGCCCACGCGCCCCGCTGCGCAGTCTCGGCCCTCGCGGCGGGAATCCGCGCGGAAGCTGATCCCAAAGAAGCGGCGCAAGCGTCGGAGCGGCGGATCTGATCTTTGACCACGAAACAATGCTCAGCCACAGCTGCAGAACAAAGGGGTAGTCATCGTGAAACATATGGCAACACATCCGAAGAACACGGGTCGAACTCATGTCTCCATAAGTATTTCAAGGGGTTGAGCTTTACATCTGTGAACAGTAAATGATAGTAGATGAGATGATCGACATCACTGCTTGACTGCCTGGCCAGTTTCAACATCCTGTAATTATATGGGTGTGTATTGAAATAGGGCCCTACTCCTGGAAGATGGAACATAGACTTGGATAGACTTGGGTTGTTGACACATGCACTTCGAAAAGCGTCACGAAGTAGATGGGAGTCTGTTCGATCCACTGGGGGGGGCCCCATTGGGCATGGCTTGAATGAACATCCTCCAACCGGAGAACGGGTGCTGTAGGAAAATGCTGGTGAATGGATGCCACAGGAAGCGTGACGCTTGCGTGACGCTTGCTTCAAGCCGTCACATGGGAGCTGCTGTGAGCAATGATCTGTGCGTACAGCACTAGCCGATTTGGAGACCGAGAGCCGGCCTTAAAATATGACTAGCAGCACTAGCAGCACTAGCATACACACTGCTTCTTGAGTTCATCTGCGTCAACAAATCTCCGAATCTTCCTGGTTTTCAGCTGCTTGTCATGGGGAGTGGGAGAGGTTGGCGCTTGGCACGGCTCGGTTCACTGGGAGAACCTGCGGAGAAGGATTCGATACAAACCCACCACTTCAGCCACCAACCCCCCACTGGTCCTGGGAACCAACCCACCACTGGTCCCCAGATCTCAGAGCTTCCCGGCTCTTTCCGCCGTGCAGCCTCTGCCTGGCACGGCGGAGGCTGTGGGTTCATGCTGATATTGAATTGCTCTTTGACACCCCTCCTGACGAATTATATAAAAAGTCCAGGATTTCCAGGGTCAGCTTGCTAGAGGCAGAGCTAAACATAACATTTGATAAAACATCTCAAAACGCATCAAAACGCTACACTCTGATTCACTAACATGGAAGTGGAACATGGTCCCGTGGAAGACTTTACTCTCTCGGATCCTCCAGAATGCTCGGAGCAACTCGGAACGTGGTGGGTCAACGGCTTGATGGCTGAATATGGAATACAAATAAACACACCCAAGTACTGAGTTGCTCAAGTCGAGCAACATCCTCCGCCACCCCTGAGTATTCATTGATACAGTATATATTTTTTTGCAATGATCATTTTGTTGAGATCATTTCGAGATGTTTCAAGATACTGATCCGTATCTTCACCCGCCGCCCCCAGCGGCGTCTTGGATGTGATCTTGATACCCACCGGAGCATAAAGCAATCTGAAGCGGCACCTTCCTCTCCTCAAGCTCTTCACTGGAAGCCTTGGCTTTTTTCCTCAGCTGTGCAAGCCCACAAGCTGGATCAAACTGCGATAGCCCACACTCTCCCTGCAATAATCATGGAAGTGGACAGTGGGCAACCCCCTCTTGCTTTAGGAACATAGTCTTCCTACGGGGCCATTGTCCACTTCCATGACTGGAGAGGGAGTAGCTGTTGCCACCCCAGCAACACTGGTTCGCACAGTGAAACAGCTGCAGGCGCTCGGACGACCGAGGGCAACAGCACATCAACAGGCATTCAAGGACGCCAACAGCCCAGCAGGCTGGCCTATTGACCTCCCAAAATGCTCCAGACTCCAGCACCGGGGTGCATCAACGACCATCCACTTGATAATATGTTCCTTTTGAAGATATCACGACACATTTCACGATATACATTGGCAAAGCAATAATCACCCGCCCACGTTCCGCGCATGAATCCGCCACATCCACATCGCTAAGGCTCTGCTTCTTGATGAGAATCGGTTCATCCGGATCGGCCTCGCTTTGTTGAAATTCAACGGCTGATCCAAACCTATATGTTGTCATCAAGAGTTCCTGCTTAGGTGATCCGAATGGCATACCTTCCAGGAACATCACCATATGTTGCATAAAGTGTGCTATCTCAAAGGTCCTCTGAAAAGCCTGGATTCCTGGATGTCGGATTTTAGTAGGGAGAACCCCACCAAACACAACCAAATGGGTTTTGGTCTATTCCCCTTCCGGGGGGTCGAACTGGGAGGTCTCTCTAAAGATAGTACCAGTCCATATAGGGCTGCATACACGGGACTCTTCCATCAGAACACATATATCAGAACTCCCAGTTTTACAATGCCTTTCCCGCACGGTGCTCAGATCATCTCAGATTGCCTTGACCCGGGCCATGGCCTTCACCTCCTTTGGAGCGGGTGAATCCTCACCTTTGGCCTTGGAGGACTTCTTTTTGGCTTTCCTCAGCTTGGGAGGAAAGGGTGAGGATGGGATGGATGGGCGAAGGAGGCAATATATAACTTCTACTTCAGGGCTGCCATAGTTTTCAACATAATTTGGGGCTTTGATCCGGTCCTGTGCCCCACCCAACAATTCTTTCCCAATCCTCCAGCCTCCAGCTCTGTAATCGTCTGTAACCTGTACAGCCTTTAGGATGTGTCACCCAAGCCCTTCAACATGGCAGCCTGGCAAGAAGCATTGCCCAAACAAAGAAATTAAGCGTCGCCATTCGCCATGAGCACATACCAACACTCTGGTGTGCTTGCAGGCAGCCACATGGGCAGGTCTGTTGCCGCAACCCTTTCCATGATTGTCGATGTGCAATACATCACAAGCAAACAACTGACAAGATGAACACCAGAATGCTGTCCCGATAAACTGATGACAGCACATAAACCTCTGCTATGCTTGTTGCATTCTTTTTTTGCTATCGCCAACCCCATCATCCCGCACCGTAGGGTTTGCCTCCTGTCTCGAGCCTTCCTTCCATCGCTCATCGCTCACCTCCTTTTTTCCCCCGCGCCCGAACTCGGTGTCGGGTCATCGCCGCGGTCGACGGGTCATCGCCGCGTCATGCAGCCGCTACGGTCCCGCGTCCGGTGCGCGGAAGACGGCCAAGGTCCGAGCGATGTAGTCGATCTCGCAGGCCTGGCGCACCAGCTCTGTCGCTGTGGCATCGAGGCGAAAGCCGGTAGAGTCCTGGACGAAGGCCACGAAGTCCTCGCGCGAGAGGCAATTCCTCAGGCAGATCGACGCTGGCGCCGAGGTCATGGGAAAACGAGAGGCACCTTTTGGGTGCCACAAGGATCCAAAACCATTTATATAGTGAAGTACTATGAGCGCTTTGAATATGTGGCTATGGGCTTCATGTTGTTCCAGGCCAGTTCTCTCTCAGCTGAAAACGTGCCAACAAACTCCCAAAAAACAACAAGGTCGCACAAAAGGCTCCAAACCTCATCAAACCTCTGTGCCTTCCCAGTGGCACATGGCCGATGCCTTCCCAGTCATCGGACCAGGACATCACCAAACCCTTGGTCGCATGACGCTTCAAGTTGGCCAGCAGCGTGGGCGCGAAGGGCTTGGGCACGTGCTCGCCCACTTCCAGGCAAAGAATCCTCGGCTTTCCCAACATCAAAGCTCCTTTCGGTAGGGGGCGGCTCCAAAATCTTGGAACTATGATTTGATGATATTTAATGTGTTAGTGTAAAAACAAAATGATGTCAATATGTATCCACATAATTTCGCATCAAAAGAATCTGTCTCCTTCAAAAGGATTGTCTGATTTTTGGAAGGCCTCCCTACGTGTGACAATCTAACAACGGAATGTCCACTTTCGCAAGCAAGAATCCAATCAAAGGTCCTCCACAGGGTCATCTCCTCGACCAGATTCACCTCAACTTTGCGCTAATCAACGATGAGTCATTCCATCGCCACTCCCGGCACAAGTCCCAAACCAAACGAACCCATAAGTTTCATAAGGCAGAAAAGCGGATTGGGCATCTTCTGGATCTACTCAGCGCCCCAAAAACCGCCACAAAAGGGTTTGTCCGGCCGTTCCCCAACCGCACCTCTTGAACCAGGCCGTCCGTGAGTTCCGCAGCTTGGTGGGTGCCATCAAAGGCGAAGGCCTCCAGCAAGCCCGTCTCATTAAGCCATTGGCTGTAGTGGCCACCCCCAGCTCCGAAGTCACCAATGGCCAAGGGCTCTTCCTCGCCAAATCGGGCGAAAGAAAAGGTGAAGAAAAGACACCCAAACGGCTGCGTGGGGAGCCTACACCGACCACCTGTTCTTTTTCGAAGAAGCGTCTTGCCAGCTGGAAGAACTGGGAGAGTGTAAGAACTGGAAGAGTCAACTGGAAGTAGGGGACTGACCTCAAACATACGTTTGAATATGTTGAATAGTAAATTACTGAAGTAGATCAGCTTCTAGATCAGGTTGCCAAACATGCCGCAGCAGCCCACGCAGCAAGCCCTTGTCGATCGCCCACTGCTTAAAGACCTTTCGACGCATGAACTCGTAAGTGACAAAGGAGCCATGCTCATCCTGGTGGTGAAGTCGAATTGGACCTGCCGTCATGGAGCTCACCTCACCTTCGAGCGTCAGCAATGCCTCATAAACCTGCCGGGTGTAATTGTGCATCCAATCTTGCAGCTTTGTCAGCCAATAAGTTCCCGCCACAAAGCTCTCTTCCACGGTGCCGGCACTCCCCTGGAAGGCTGGATCCCTGTAGAAGCTGAAGGCAAAGCTGTGCCACTGTAGTGCCAGCAAGTCTACTTGCAACTCCTTCCAAGCTTCAATGCCTACCAGTAGCACATCTCGCACCAGAGCCTTCATGCAGGGATGCTGATCTACGGAAAGTGCCATGACACGGAAGAAGTACGTCTGGACCTGAGAGAAACGTGTCGTGAAGTGTCGTTCCATTTCTAAAACGACACGGCTCAACCTCCAAACCAAAAGAAAAGATTGGTGTAGCACCCGGCTCAGGTCTGGACCTTCTGCAGCACCCTCTCTTGTGAGGTGGTGAGGAGCCAAACCCAGGTGCTTTCTTGCACATGCCGCAGCAGCTCAATGAAGATTCCCGCCAAGCCCATGATGTCGCTGTGCAGCTTGGTGACAGCATCACGGAGGACCACCGTTTCATTCATCAAGTAGAAGAGCCGCTGATCGCAATCCATCTCCTTATATAGATTTGCTTAAGGAAGCTGGATAACTATACAAGATTCACCCAGAAGGGAATTGAACCCTACGGACAAATATGAAACACATCATCTTAAAGCAACACCAGTTCTCTGAGACATCTTGGAACTCATTGAGGTGGTAGAGAGCTTCCGGGGACTTCTGGTCATGAATGTTCAACTCGGCCGAGAGGAAGTCTAGCAACTGATTGGGATGGACCTCCTCCAACTTCAAGTTTGGGGCAGTCAGGCCGACGTTTATCAGCAGCCCCCAAGTGAGCACGTAGAATCTGCCTCTCGAGGGGCACATTGGGATGCTGCGCGCTGCAGCCCTTCAAAGTTTCGCCTTCAATTTGAGCCAAATCCGCTGCAAAAGGAATTAGTATAATACGTATTATACGTATTATATCCCTAGGGATGCAAGTACCTTGTCAAAAGGTACTTGGACTCTCAAAACATACATAACAGTGCCTCCAATCACCTTCTGAGAAGGTACGTGGATCCCTAGGGTATAAGCAGTCCAACAGGTGCGCAGTCCAGGGTCCAAAATAACAAACAAGTCCACCTTTGGGCCTATGTCCACCTTTGGGCCTTTGGAGGACACATGCCTTTAAAGAGCTTTCACGGAAGACAGAGTCCGTGTAGGTGCAAAATCACTACACTCCCCGGAACTAACATGGAAGTGGAGAATGGCACCGGTAAGGAAGACAGAGTACGTATGCTCGAATTTCCCAATTCTCTAACTAATTTTTTAGCTTTATTTAGTCCATGAGCTGGACTTGGGCCCTATCGGAACGTATCGGAACAGGCCACTACGTGTGACGCTTTGGAGTCAAGCACTGCTCATGATCAAGTCTCTTGGCAGCTGCGGCCTTTCTTGGGCAAATGCCTCAGCCAGGGGACAGTCTCAAAGAAGTCGCGGATCTCATGATGAAACAGGATCGATTTGCCCCCAAAGTTTAACAAACCGTAACAAACCAGTGGTTGGATCTAGTGCTGCTGGTGGGCATGCTGGAAGTTCCAACAGAAAACAATAACTGTGCATGGCCATCATGAGCCTGGTGATTTCAATGTTTGCATGCTGATGTTCAATGTTTGCAGCCACTCATGCGTGCGCGAGTGTGCCACCCCCACTCCGAAGGCATGTTCTGCCGATAAACGGCTCGGAAACAAGAATGACCGATCGCGCAAATAAGCGAGGCGGTTAAAACGATGTGATTTGTTGAGCTCATGGATTGAAGAAGTAGAGGGCACAATCACACACAATCCCCCAAGATGGTTGAAATGGAGCCCCCTTCTAAAAACCATCATTGGGCCACACACACATGCAGCGTCCCACACCTTTCTGAAACCGGTGAGCTAGTGGTCTCGTGTTCGCCAGGCTCCAACTACGTCTACGACCAGACCGTCGACCTGTAGAGGCTCCGAAAGCTGCACCCAGACCGGTAAGCTGCACCGTCCATGCTAAGAGGCACTAGTTCCGAGGACATGGCAGCTGCATGACCTAATCCGTTTCGGTCAAGGCGCAGCAAAACGCCAGTGGCAAAAGTACCTCAGAACGCGCCAAGATTGGTAGAATGGGCTAATAACTTACATATTCTCACTCGGCTTCAGGTGGTCCAGGACGTCATTTTCGGCATGCGAACCATGCGGCAAGGGTGGTTCAATTCTCTATGCGGACTCACTGCCTCAGTGTCCCTGGATTCCACCTGTTTCCACCTGTTTCCTCCGTTTGGTGGGATATTTAAAATCAAATCCCCCAAAGCAGCTGCACAGCTGATCCACGTCTCCTGAATTCTGCTCATCTCCCTATGGAAGCCCCACATCTGGATGATCTGACATCCTGGAGGGTGCTGCAATCGATGATTCAAGCTTCGAAGAAAGGATAGGAACCTTTTAAAAAGGCCTGGGGCCCTTTTTGAGAACTGTCACTTCTGAAAACCCTCCGGGCATCAAAAAAGAGTCTGGATCTCGAGAGATTGTCCGGACTCAGGTGCCATTATAGGCTTCCAAAGTAGTCTTGCGAACCTGTCAGGTTGAGTTGATGTTTGCTGTTCAGCCGAACTCAGTTTCTCACCTTTGAAGGACCATGAAGGACCACATGCAAAAGGCCCAATTCAGAAGACCGACTTGGGTCGCTGAAAAGAACCGGCCTATGGGACCGTTCCTTGCACGTTCACCAGCGAAGGTTCGGACCAAAGCACTTGCTGCAAGCGACGTTCGCAGGGGGATCAATCCAACGTTTTCTGGCGTTGGTTTCACCAGCACAGTGGTTGAATCCGTACTTTTTTGGGGTGCCCCATCAACTGGTCCAGCAATATTCCGACAGTCGTCTGACAACAGCCGATCGGCTCGGCAAAAGCTATGACGTGTGATGCAAAAACAGCCGAAAACAAGTACCTTTCCAGCAATACAGTCTAGGATGTGTGACTATCCATGATGAAACCAAAGGTATCACATCCAAATACATGGTCAATTCCCTCATCTCCTAGCCCGTGCTCATCCAAGAATGGGTGCAATTCAAGTTGAACACTCTAAGAATTTAGGAGGCTCAGGAGAGAAGTTCGCCTCACTGAACCTTAGATCAAACCTTGGGAGTATCTAGTCAATCTAGTCCACAGCTGGAGACTTCCTTTGCACCGGCTCGTTCCAATGAAGCCCTCGGAGCTGATGCCAGGCTGCCACGGCCGCCAAAGCAGCCAAGGCAGCCAACATGGAGGGATTCAAAGACCCCTGGCGGTTTGGTCAAGGACGCTTGGACGGAGGCAGAACCAAACCGCGCCGCGAGATCCTGAGGTGGCCTCCAGAATTCTTCAGGAACAAATATCTGCGGCCCAAGAACGGTCAATGCTGAGTTGCTTTTCAGGTTAGGTCCCAGCGGTTAGGTCCCAGCTTCGAATTCAGTGTGCCTGGGGTGCTGTAAGTGGGGTGCCGCAGGTGGTTTTGAATATCTCCTCATTGGAATTCAGGATCAGATCAGGATCGCAAGTGTCATTGCCTATATATGGATCGTGGACTTGTCAATGGGCCTCTGCCAACCCTTCCACATGATTTTTGTTCGCGCGGACCAAGCCCGGAAGCGAAACAGCTACAGGATGCTAAAGGAAACAATAGCACAAATGCCCTCTATGCCAGCAACTTGGTTTGCCTTCTCGCTTGAAACATGTCAATGGCACCTACAGTATGCTGTACTTGTCTTCTCATGACGAAACAGGGCTGAAAGATTGGTTGCTCCGGCAGAGTGCCACTGGTGCCGAACTCCATGCAGTGAAGGTCGAGGGCTCACTGGGCGGACCTCACAAAAGTCCCCTCCTGGGCCTAAGCTACTCTTTTGGCTGCACTTGCCCAAGGACATCATGAAAACACGTCTCGCGGTAGGACGGACGGCTGTTGGGAGCCAACATGTTTTCGTGAGACTGTCGAGAATGCCCAGCAACCCATCCGTTGAGGAAACCTCAGCACTTTCGGTCTCCACGGATGTGGTGAGGAACCCTTCCATTCGCAAAATTGTGGCGACATGAGGTGTTCAGGAGCACGAAATGCTCGATTTGTCACAGTTCACTGCCTTAGCACAGTCGAACACAAAAACTTGGGACGCACAAGCAACGAACATTGTGGCCAGATTAGACCGGATTCCATAACCCAGCTTGCTGGTGACGTCATTTCTTGAGAGAATAGTGGACAATGGGCCGCCACTTCCCCCTTCAGACATCCACCGAGCCGGGTCCAGGTCACCTTTTCCGGGTCCAGGTCGGCCCATTGTGTGGCGTTGTTTCAAGACGACCAAAGGTCAGGAACAAACACTCATCAAGCGTGCGTTTATGATTCCATGCATCCAAGATTCGTGGTTCCAATCAAGAACTGTTTGGTATAGAAGACCGATGGGAACGCACCGTGCAGTTGGATTCGTGGTTCGCAGGTTTCGGATCTAAACAACGAAGCAACGTGGGCCGCCCAAATGTTACCATGCATGTCCATCCATGACTAACCCAGTACATTGGACCCACGACTTGCGCAACAATGATCTGGGCGCCCAAAAATACGTGCCATGTCGGGCAGTGACCACGGGTTTGGAGGGTGAACATGGGTGAACCAGACATTTGGAAAGTAAACAAAGCGCAAGCATTGAGCTACGAGTTGTAAGCCAGGTCGAGGACCAGCGCACTCCAAGCTCCTGCAAAACGCAAGACCATGGGCACCTTTGCGTGTGTACTGCAAGTGGCCACACCATCCTGCTTGTCATCTTTCTTCACCTCACGCTTGGCCCTGACGCGAGGGGAAACGATCTGCAAGAAAAAGGAGGGGTGCTGTCAACTGCGCCAAAGCTTAGCCTCAGCTTCCATCCAGTAATTTGACGTGTCAAGTCTTCATCAAAAAACTCTGCACCACCGAAAAAACCAAGGCAACCGACTGAGAATAATATGCAAAGTCCTTTGCCCTACCCAACGTATGGATTCATGAAGGTGGTCCTGAAATACTCAACGAACAAAACACCACAGCCACGGTGATTGGCCAAGCTGTGTTCGATTCGGATATATACATTAATTAATGGTGGGGGCCACGTATCATGTATCATGATATTTTATGAATGTTGTCCTAGGACAAAGCTCTCAACAACAAACCGGTGTCAATCGCAGTTGCTGTGTCTGTTTTCTTCTTTATTCTCTAATTCAGGCATTCCTCGTCAGGTCTGATTCACCAAAATATCGAAACCCTAACCATCCCTAACCTAACAATATATAACCCTGCGTGGCCTCCACCGCTTGAAGAGCAAGTATGCCAGCGCCAGCAGCAAAAGGCGCACGACTTGCAAGCGCCAAGGACCTCAACCACTGGGAGTTTAAGCATGACCCAGAGGCACCGGGCACCCCAAACCACTACAGCCTTTAGATCCATTGAATCACCAACACCACCATATCAACGGGACAAAGTCGGACATTGTCCAATGCGAGATGCAAATTGAAATTAATTAAGGTCGGTCCACACAAACATTGTCCCAACATTATCCTTCAAATTTAGCCTTGCACCCAAACGTTCTTGCTTTCAAACATCTTAGAAAAACAATGAAGAACACCCTGGGTCAGGGTGCACAGGGGCCATGCACAAATCCATGCCAATGGAAACAGCATCTAAACGATCTAAAGAATCTAGGCACATCGTGCCCTGTCTAAAGGACGGCACCCTGCCTTCAAACCTATTAAAGCATTAAGATGCATTAAGTCATATTGGTCAGGGTTCGAGTGGAATGTTCTTAGCAACGGTGTGCTTCAACTCTCACATTGCACAACAAAGAACACCTCCAAAGAATGGAGGTACGTGTTGCCGCTAAAACAGCTTCCCACGGAAGGGCCCAAATGCTTTTACAACTGTAAGGCTGTATTTTGGACAACCTTCAAACAGCACAAACATCGGAGCCCTACAAAGCAGCTTCACATCGCCCCCTGAAAGCTTGCCAACTCACACGACAAGTACAAATTAATGACACTCCTGGTTTGCGGACGTAGGCAAATGGTTCCACCGCTTCGAACAATTAGTTGAGAGTAGTTATGAGACTTCAGAGCCCCCAATCCAGGATCATCCAGCTTCATCCACGTGATCCGCAATGTATCACCATATTGATAAGATTTGATAAGTCTGCCTCTTCTGTCCGGCGAACTTTCTTGGAACACTCTTTCATTACACAAGTCCTCCAACGGAAACAGGGACCCATGACACTGGTTGGTGATGGTTGGTGGTTGAAACTCATTTGACGAAGTCATGGGGTTCAATCATCCCAAGTAAAGCTTGAAAAACAAGAAGATCCTGGAACATCTAAAGCCACCACTCGTTTTTTCGTGCTGCGCACCGCACGGCCCAGGTTTCAATCGCGCCTTTGGGGCTCCATCGCAGGGTGGGGAGATGTGCACCAGGCAGCGCCGTGTGAGTGCGCAGCTGGAAGTCCGGACTGTAGGCCTTGCGGATCACGAAGTCTGAGGATCGCGAAGTCATGGGCACCAGTCGAGCGACGGCTTCGGAAGACAGCAGGGTGGGGCTGCTAGATGCTGGTAATTAGGCTGGTAGATGCTGTATGTGCAGATGCTGGAATTACTGACATATTTCCGAAGCGACCTAAAGAACGGGCCCCTGCCTTTCAATTGATGGAAGGGACCTGGGCATCATGATTATCATGACATCTCGCACACTTGCCTGCAAGAGAGGACGTACACCCATCCATCCGTGCTTTTTCACCAAACCCGGCGCCGATACGCCCGATGACCTCCTTCCAGGTCTTTCTCCAGGTCTCCTTGACAACTTCAATGAATGCTTCCATGGACGCCTGAGGCAAAAATCAATCGCAACAAGGAGCAAATCAACTGACTCCTCATTTTGGGCCTCAAGGAAGAACTTGACATGACAAAAGAAAGCTGGTTTGGTGAAACGAACTTGGACACTTCCCTTTGCCAGTTGGGATAGTGTTGCATTGTGGGCATGAAAAGTGCAATCCTTAAGTGGAACCATGTGACACTCACTCAACGATAGTGTAAATTGTTATACAATAATGTTTCGCCGAACAAACGCTCCGGGCTGCTTGTGCTCAAATTCACACTGAACCCGCTGTTTCGATATGGGGTGGGGCAGTCACCAAGTAGAAAGAACGTTCACTCAAGAAAATACACACGACTCTTGCCAACTGGCAAAGTTTTCAAGTATGCAAGGTCACCTCACCAAAAAGGCACTGGCAACAACCGCCTTCAATTTGCAACGTTTCGAACGCAATGCCTGCAGCACGACCTAATTTGTTACCAGCGATTGCCTTGTGTGTGGTGGTTGTGGCCGCTTGACGGTTCTCAGCTCTCCCACTATATATCGGTAGATAGTGGCGTGCAAGCACAGAGCGGATGACGAAGAAATACGAAGAAGGCCTCCATCACTCGATGCTACGGCAGTCTTATTCCTTTGAAGTCCTTCTGTCGGAGGACGGATGTTCCAAGCAAACACCAACGACGCCCTGACTGTCTTTTGGATAGAAAGGCTCCATGACCTGCTAGGCCGCTGGACGCAGGAAAACCCGCTGCATGGACAACCCGCACCGCTGCAGCTGGTGGAGACCTCCACGAGTTCGTGAACCAAGTCTTTGAGATGATATCTGTGAGAGCTCTGTGATATCTGCAAGTTGCACTGCAAGTTGCATCTGTCTTCTTGTACCTTTCCGAAAATGCTCAACGCTGAGCACTAGCTCAATGAGGAACACCACCAGCCGTGAGCAAATCGGCCTGAACACCCGCACCACACAAAGACAGGAACCCTAGGCCGTGAACGAAACCAATCGTTAGAAGGAAGTGAAGCCCTTCTTGCAGTTGGCGGCCGATGATCCAATGAAATCCAATGCACGTTTCCTTTGCCTCTCTTGCCGTTTCAGCCGCGTTCGTCCGATCGCACGATCGGCCCCACGGGACGGCCAAGCGGCAAAGGTGCCAGGGTCAATGACCCGGGACACCGAGCTCACGCAGAGGGTCCCAAAGTTCACAGCCATCTCCTTGGTCACGGATTTTGTTCTCAGGTTCGGTACGACTGGACCCGACGTTGCACCCGACTTTCACGTCCAATCACCGTTACCTCATAGGGTGGCCGTGGATCCAGTCTGGGTACTGTATGGACAATCACACAACAACCACGTCTGGCGAAATCGTGCCAAAAAAGAGCGTTCGAAAGAGCGTTCGAATGTGTGGCGCTTTCTGCTGTGCTGCTGAGCGCGAACCGACCGTCCCGGCCGTTCGGCCGGCAAGGACGGCTTGGTCCTGCGTTCGACCGCTCGATTCGAACCAGCGCCGCAGATGCCAAGGACGTTTGGCAGCTGGGCCCTCTTCAAATCCTCACCTACTGGGCATGCTTCATTCTACCAAGTGGCCCTCTCGGCAGTGACGCACTCCTTGTTGGTGGTAATGACCACCTGGTGGTGATGGTACAAGTATATCGTGCATTAGATGCACAATAACACATTACTGTAGGACAAACCGGCATTGATGTGCACCGACCTTCCATGGCAAACACACCGACCTTTCATGGATGTTTTTGCTGGGTCACCTCTTCGGATGTGAACTTGAGTCGAAGTTGCTGTAGAAATCTCCATGACAAATAGAACCATGTCTAAACTCGCATCCTGAAATCACACGGGTGTCTGCCACCATCTGAAATACTCCCAACCCATGCACCCCCCCTTCACCCGCCCTCACGCGACCCGCCCCGGGTGGTCCGCAGATCCGTCTCTTTCGTCGGCGGATCATGCCTGCACCGGCCATTGGAGCTCATAGGCTGCTCCAAGGGCGCCCAGCTTAAGTGGCAAGCCCTCCGGAAGCAAAGACCGCGTGCCTTCAGGATAGAGGACCTCACCGTGGACTCCACAAGGAGCGAGAGTGAACTGACTGCTATTGGGCAGTGAACAAGGATGAGATGAGTGAACAACGATGAGTGAACAAGGATGAGTCTGACTGCTCGTCGACGACTCGACGCGTCGACGGTGTCGGCCCCCGTCAAACACCATCTGCCAAAGTCAATGGCTGGTCCAAAAGCTTCTCTTTAGAATCTTGGAGGCCATTGCTACTAATAGTGACAAGAAGCTATTATTTGGAGGCCATTGCTATTAGGTTGGAGGCCATCGCTAGTAACAAGAAGCTACTAGGTGGAGGCCATCGCCACTAGAAACAAAGAAAAAGAAAAGAAAGAAAGGTCTACAGTGATGCCTATTCCTATTCAATTGAATGGAGTACAGTGCCTCCCCGATAAGAATGGCGGCCAAGCGTTTTTCGTTTGCAGTGTCTATTTGGAACCCCCTACAGCCCTACCGACCGAACACCAGGTGACTGAGACTGGGGCAAGGCAATCAACGAGACTATCCATGTGACATGTGACACGTGATGACGAAACAAAGACCGGATGACCACCACTGAGACAACATCATACGGCCACCTCTGCACTCTTTGCTTGCTTAACGGCCACTCCTTTGCCTGCAAAGCCCTTGATTCCTGAGCAGCACGCAGGGTGAGTGCTTTGTACCCACAAAACAAGTATGCCGCAGGATTGATGATGTCCCGCAGTTTTCTCACAAGACATCAAAGTGACAATCGAATCAAAACTGACTGACTGATATTGAATGTCACTCACCAGCACAACCCGGCCAACTTAGAAGAAGGAGCATGGCAGCTGCAGAAGTTTTCTCGTCTCTTGTGAATGTCCACACGACCGCAAACATGTAGAGTTATAGACATGACTGGGCCTATAACCAACCATCCAGAGAAAGCGTCGCTCTGAGAGAAAGTGCTTCATCCATGCCACAGCGCCCTCTTTGTGCTTCGAACCTCGCCTCAGGGTCTGTCAGCCCATTTGCGCGCGTCAACCCAAGCTATGAATATCTACTAATGTTACTGTGATACCGATAATGAGCTGAAGCAAGGGAAATAAGGAAACACACTGAATGTTGAAAGGAACACATGAGAGAACATGAGAGAACAACAAAAAATCCTCCAATGCCTTGAGTCCTATGCAGTGTCTATATAACGAGCACCGTAGTATGCTAGCTATAGTTGGGCGTCCTATGTCCCAACCAGCGACTCAGTGGCCTCGGGTTGACTGCCACCCCAGGGGCGAGAAGAACCACAGCCACCCTTCATTGGAGCCCCAAAGTGCTGTCCAAGGGATGGCAGCTGCGACCATGGCCCTGCTGATGAAGGAGGGTCCTCCAGCGCACGCCGCACACCCCACCCATGTAGTCGATCGAACGGTTCGCGAGGATCGACTCAGGAGGTGATTCGTTCGCTCGACTCATGGGGGTGCACCCCCTTGGCAGGACACCACATGCGCAAGCGCACAACACAAGCGGGGTCGCATACATCTGCACCAATGCCATGAACAACGGAAAAGAGGTGTTTGTGAAAACGCATGGCTATAGATACTAAATATCACCGTTGGAATTAAGTGGGTAGGTGGGGGGCGGGTAGCGATTTTATAGTGCTACAATGCTGGGACCAAGCTCCCCCCCAAAAATGATCGCTGTTTGACTCTATAAAATTGCGATTGATATAGGAAAAGAGTCTAAGTACTGGAGCCACACATAAAAATGCCCCTTCCAGGAAGGCATCGATTCACCTGTTGGAAGGACCCTATAAATTTGAACTGAAAACAAACGTTTTGATGGACAGGCACAGGGGCTGTGATTGTAGAGTGTCCAAAGGTGGTCCCCAAGGCCCCTGAATTGCAGTCCCTGAGATGCACAATAACGCTAACAAGAGTCACATAACATCGCGTGAGGTACCAAGAGTCACATCGCGAACCAGCTTAGACACCTCTATAGAATCGATCTTCTACAAAAAAGTTATTTCCTATAAAAGCGAGAAACTTCCACTTTGCCACTTAGAAGCCTCCATGCTAACCAAGAAACATCATGTTTTTAAACAATCGCTTTTCAGGGGTCCCAACCCCGGCGCGATTCTGTGGAGGAAATTCCAATCCCTATTACTAAATCTAATCTATAATGCCTAAAAGTCATGCCTTTAGTCTCTTCATCTGCTCCTTCTTTGCTTTCTGCTGATCAAACTTCCCTAAAACCGAAGTCGGAGCCGCGATGCCGTGACGGCGTCCACAACCCCCGCGGCACCCGCCGTCCAGCCAGCAAGGCGGCATCAGTCCAGAAGTCGCCCCAGCTCCTACGAAGCACTCGTGCGGGTGCACCGTGGGGTGCAAGATGAACGGTGCAAAGAGAAGATCAAGCGGACCATGCAAAATGTTGGCGAGCTATATCAAACGTTCATTTGCCACCATGCAACAATCACCAAAGTTTGGCCTCCAGCTTTATGGTCTTTATAGGTTACTCCCGCACCCAGAATTCCAGTCGAACAGGACAGGCCCCCGACGCAAGTTCGCACACACGTTCTCCGTCCCACAGGAACGTGTCAAAACGTCCCGGACCACGGTGTCCTGTGATTGCTGAGGTAGACCACGGGGCGTCCGTTGTCCATGACCTGTCAACACTCGGGTGTGAAACTGCCAGTGTAGTTAAAGTGTCTCTCATTCCCGGTGCGCGCGACTGTGAGTATGCTGCAAGTCAATTCCTTGTACCAGCATCTTCTCTCCTTTCATGCGACATGTCTCCTCGGTGGGTGGGGGTTCCGCCGATCCATGGGCCCCATGGCGCACAAACCTTCGCACTCTCGGCTGTAACAACTGAATGTAGACTCTTGATTACTAAACCCCCCTTTGAAGAGGATGTTCAATTCAAATGGGGGGATTGATCAAGAGTCTACATTAACTGATTGCTGAGGCACCTGGACATCTGCTTCCTATTGGCCAGTTTAATATTTGAGTCACTGTGAGTCACGGGAAATGGCGAATGTATGCTTCAGCACAGGTACGATCAGGTACTCCAATACGACGACTCTACAGGATGCCGACCAGTTACCACGATAATCAAACATGTTAGCGCGTTGTGTGCTTCACAATGCCGCAACCACTCAGTGCCTGTGGGTCATTAGCAGTCAAATGCAATGCCCTGCAAAGTGCCTTCTTAGTCTTTACATGTCTTTACTACCAAGAAATATGTCCACCCGTGGTCGACCTCGGGTTGATCTTCATACAATGACGAAATGCCACCAACTCCAAGTCAGGTGAGAACGCATACACTTATAGTGATCCCCAAATAAATAGAAGCATACAGAAACGGTGTCCAATACATTCTTGGTGAGCTACCACTTAAGTCCTGCATGTTTGCGCATGAATCTAGCACCCGTACGGTGCCGTGTCACATCGCATCAGTGTGCCACTCCGGATGACGATTCTCCTCTACAAACAGGTGGTTTCCACTTCCATGTTGGTGAGTCAGAGGCTATTGGAGATCCTTCCCTTGCATGTCTTCGCCGATCCCAAATCCGATCCTTCGATCCGTTGGCCGGAGAACCGAGGGTTCCCACCTGTTGTGCTGCAAGGGCAGTACCAAACTTCACCTGCAAAATCTGCAGCATGCGCGCAGCCACCTGGATGAGAGGGCTGGACAGGTGGGGGTAGGACAAATGGGTCTGGGCCTTTGAGAGCCAAGCTGCTTGATTTACTTTCGAGTCTCTTGAGGCTCAACATAGCATCATTAACAACCATGATTTCAAAATGATTGATTAACAGTACAATCCAGTACATATATACATACATAAATCAAATATATTATATATATATATATGTTTTTTCCAACAATCAGACTTGCTAAAGGATATGACATGTCCGTGCAGGCCCTGTTCGGAGATCGGAATTCGACCCTCAACTCATCTCAAATCGACCCAAGCCAAACCCTGCGTACGGCCATGATGCCCAGCCACCCATCCATGGGAGACGTTAAATCCCAAAAGTTGCAGCAAGATGGCGAGGAAGCATGACCCCTGATGCGCTGTCGGACGAGTCCGAAACGTCACAAGCGAGCCCCTGACTTCTTTTTTGTCCGTCGTCACTCACTCCGGGTGGTTTACTTGGCTTCAGGGGTATGTGGGGGCAAGGGCTACCCACACTGCCCTACTTGATTTGTATACTGAATGGCAATGAGCTGCTATCGCACCATGAGTCACCCTGAGGTTTTGATATGCCACAAACCTGACACCATGATGAAACCAGGTGAGGCCAAGAAAGTGGTAATTACTCGCCTTCATACACCGAAGCCAAACTATATATATTTAAATAATATATCTTCCAATAGTTCAATGGATCATGGGTGCCGGGACTCTTGTTTTCTCAGCCAACCACTTGACCATTGACATCGCTGGATCACACGGTGCCATCGCATCAGCCCTTTTTGTTAGTCTGCCTTTTCGTGCAAATGCTGGCGGCCTGACCCTGTTGACCCGGATGAAGCCCAGCAGGGTTTTGCAAAAGAAGCACCCTACAAGCCTACAAGTAAAGCCAGTCTGACTCGACACACGAAAAGGTAGGGGATGACTCTTGAAGGTGTGACCCTGGTCCCCCAGGTCCCTACATGGACGTGGGTTCCTACCGGCGTCCGCGCCTGTACGATGCCCAGGTAGAGGAAGAATGCGGCTTTAGACGATGCCATTTGATCAGCGGCAACAGTGGTGCACGTGCGATCACGTGCCGTTGCGTGGGTCTATGTCGTCCTGTCTGTGTGTGTTGTGATGGAGGGTGCTCGAAGGTGCTCGACCAAAGCGAGCCTTCGAGCCTTCACATGTGTGTTGGCAGTTTATGTTGCTCTGGCGTTCTGCCCGCACAATCAATCATGTTCACTCTTTGGTTTGATAAACATTCACCATCATGCTCTCCTCTCCGCAAACAACTGAAGGAAACGCATGTAGCCACTCAAGACAGTGTTCTTTTTCCCGTGATTTGCCCATAGCAAAAAATATCATATGACCTCCCAGGAGTTTTTTCAAAAGTCCTTTGATTAACTAACTTCTATCCAGCGCATTCTGTGCGCTTCGACATCTGCATGAACCCGCGGCATCCCAGCAACGCCCAGAAGACTCTCCGCGAACACATGCCGATGCCGATGCAATCGCAATCCGAAAAGTAAGATAAAGTAAGTGTGCGTTCTGCCTCTCCATGCATGTAATGTAAAGATTGGATTGATATGGTCTATATTTTGGGGGAGCCCTTGTACCTAGGCAACTTCTTGTGACCTCTCTGACCAGCACCATGTACCTCACACTCCCCTCCCGTCTTGTCATGGGATCCCAAGATGGGTGGACGACCATGGATGGCAAAGGTCCCCGGAAGAAGACAAAGGCATCAATCTACGCTACCAGGTCCATTCGTGTCAATACAAACCTGCCTGCCAACCATATCTCGGATTTGTATCTCACTGCATTTCCCCCGAAAATAATCATCTGGGATTGCTCAAAAGCTATCATTCTTCGAAGAAGTTGCATTCTTCAGCCAGGGTTAACAGGGGTGTTCCGTGCTCTGTGCTCACAACCTCCACTCCACGCCACTCCACGAGGTGCAACGAACCCCACGAAACCGAACACGCCTCGCCTCCGCCATGAGGTCATTGAAGCGCCCCATGGCCATTGGCCCCCGCCGCGGGGTGTTGACACCAGGCGGCCCGGGACGTTTGACACGTGCCGCACGCGTCGGCTGGAGCCAAAAAGAGCAGGAGGAAGAACTGAGGGAGAAACTCCATGGGGAGTTGGGAAAGCATGAACATGCATGTATGAATATTTATGATAAAGGCATGTTAAGGCAGGTTTTTTGCGGCAAAGCAAGGATGTTTGGGATCTAGGTGTTTGTGTGAAGCTGTGTCTTGCAGGCTTGAAAAGAGTTCAGGTGCTTGGGGTGGCTGAGGTCAGTTGCAAAACACGTGTGACGTAGTTTATCAAAAACAAACCATTACGACTTCATATCCGTAGACTCTTCATGATTCTCCCCTACCGGCAAAACTGGGGGCATATGCCAGTACATCGCTGACCCTTCCAACATTGAGAACCGAAACGCCGAAACGGTTGGACGTGGCTCCATCGGTCACCACCTCTCTCCCTCTGCAAGATATAGCTGACCCACAGCTGTCCCAAAGAGACAGGCCCTCTAATTCTAAGGGCCACCACCTGCAAGCTTTGTTGGACTTTGCAAATCTTAGGTCATCAGGTTGGTCAACGTCAGTGAACCACATCCGTGGTTTAAAGAACCAAGCTGTCACCAAAGGCCAGCTCGGCCTCCGATTCCTAATGCAAACTCTTGAGCAATAACCCCCGCCATTGAACAAAGACACCTCTTCATATGGGAAGTTTAATTCATGTATTGTTCTGTCTCTACATGACTCGTCCTCCTCGCGATTCTTCGTGGAGGTCCGCCCCAAGAATCGCCGACTGGGGAGCGACGCCGGGGCCGGATTTCTGGAGTTCGGCCCCTTCCTTGGTCAAGTAGTAGATCAAAGCCACCTTCCGATACCTCGGTCAAACACGCAACCCACCGAGGCCCGACGAGTGGGCCATAGTACTGGGCCCCTCTCCATCGCAACTCGAGGCCCAGCCGGGCTATTTGGACTGTAAAGGACACGAGGACAAAAAAAACATCTTTTCAAGTATGTTAATGAATGTATGTGTTCAAATCTGTTATATTGTAGAATTTTGGAACACACACACGCACACAAATGAAGCCCCAACATGGCCTTAGTGGTAAAGACTCTACATCACACATTCACATGGCGTTTGTGGTCCCATCTGAGAGGGAAGTTCCAAGAGCCGGGACACCAAATCCACTGCGAATCTCTGCAGGGCGCAGCTGGACGCAAAGCATTCAACAATCCTCAGAATGTGTCTCTGCAACCTTCACCATTTCCATGACTTTACTTCTGGGTCGATTTGCAAACGACCCCATCATGACCCTGAAAAATATTCTGAACCCCCAAAATCCTAAGACAAGTTCTTTCAAGCCAGGCCCGGCGCTTTCCTCTCGCCAGGTGACACGGTCGTGCCCTCTGGAAACCGCTCACTCGCCTCCTCCGGCCGCACCACCTGCGGTGACAGCAGGGCCCGCTTAGGCTGCACCGAAAAAGAAGGTCGAAAAGGAGTGAAACAGCGTGTTGGCTTGTTGATACATGAATATATTTCAGAATCAGTCAGTGCATATCTATATAACTATCTCTCTCTCTCTCTCTCTCCTCTCTCTCTCTCTCTCCCTCTCTCTCTCTCTCTCTGTGTCAACAATAAGTCAATAAGTAATAATGTATATGATTACATGCGTATGTATTATGTATATATATATATAATTATATATATAAGATGATTGAAGACAATGCTGTTGATGGTCAGGATGCGTCAATGACATCATACAGTGAAGGCCGTCAAGACTCTCAAGACTCCCAATCTGGCCGCTTGTGCCGCTTCTTCGATTCTTAGCAGAGCGGGTGTTGTGCACCTATCTGAACAGTGCAATTTGGCCAGAAACGCGTGGTCAATGACGTCGTTTGAGAATTTTGAGATCACCATATTGAGGTTCGGCAGGTTCAGCCGAACTTTCTCTGCGGCTGCGTATTTTAAATCGGCACGTTTTTTTGAGGTGTTCATAGGTTTTCTTATTCTATACACTATATATATATCGTTTCCTAATGTTTGGGAATTGTGATGTATCGCTTCTTGTGGATCTCTTGTCCCCGAAAACCTTGCCAGGGTGTGTGTTCTGCGTCCCCTAGTAACACAAGCCTAAAGCCTTCGTGAGCGAATCGTGAATCGCCCAACACTTGCAAACCATGTGGTCCTGTTGACTGTTGGCTGCTTGTCGCACAGAACTTGAACCAAACAATCGAACAAATGGATGCAACACGTTTTTCCAGCAGGCAAAGTGAGTGCCCAATCATAGTCCGAATCCATTACGAGTGGATGTTCTCGTTTCCAACGATCTGTCTATCAAAGCAAACCCTTCGATCTCACCGGTCTTCTCACCGGTGATTCCCGTTTCGACTCAAGGGACCCACCTCAGGGCGTCGTTGTGAAGAGTGATCTTGCCGCCCGTCTCGTATTTGGCGCCTGAGGACAAGCACAGGCCCCACAGGTACAGGTACACAATAGAAAGGTGGTTTTGTTGCCCTGGCCCTGGAGCCAAGGGGTCCTGGATTCAGGTAAACACCGAAACCATCCGAAACCTTTACGATCTCTTCAGTGTTCTTTCAATAATTCCCCGCATAATAACAGTTACATGCACAAACATAAGATTTGCATGTCTTCACAGGTCTGCATTGCGATCTTGCTCTTGTCAGTCCAACTCCTTGCTCTTGTCAGTCCAACTCCCTGAGTCTCTTTGCAGTTGGTCAGGACTTTTCACCGGGCAGATTCAACGGTCGGCACTGTGAGACCACTTGCACCTTTGGCCTGCGGCCTGGGTCTTCTTGCATCACGTCAAACCCTAGCTGAGCCAACTTCCAACTTCACATAACTTCACCAAACAAGCAGTTGAATCTAACTGGTTAAAACATGTAAAAACTGTTGGACTTCAACCAAGCAGGCTCATAACTAGGCAACTTCAGTGTACTTCAACCAAGCAGTTAAGAGGTAAAGAACTGTTGGATCTACTGAAGCCACAGCATGGCGCGCAGGGCGAGACCTGCAAGACTCACACTCGCCATCGGTCCAGTTCCACTCTTCCTCTCCTGCATGCAGTTGGCCCCCCATCTTGGCTGGGTACTCTCGCCAGGTCACCATGGGAATAGCCATGTCTAGATAGAAGTTTGGAGGTCTTCAACCTGAAAGTTGTTGGTCTTGGAAGCTGAAGCCTTGATACCCCCTGTTGATTGCACTCAAAAAGAAAACACCCACAGTGGCATTTGGCGGGAATATGCCAAAGCAAAAGCCTATACAACTCCACACCGTCATGCTGGTTCAAGCTCTCGGTGTTCATCATTCTATCTTTCACCTTGAGAGTTCTACCTCTTGATCTCTTAGTCTTAGTCTTACCGTTCACTTCTGAAAGATAGAATGGACAAATAGACTGGTTCACTTATGTTTTTTTCTATCATATTCACCATTTAGTTATAGCAGAGAAATATCACATTAAATTACATGGTGAATGATAAAGTCCTTCCGGTTCTTGGCATTTCTTATTTGCTGTAGGTCATTGGTAACCGCTGGAAAGGCCTGGAAGGTGAATGACAGTCAAGGGGCCCAAATGGTGGGTGAACGAATGTGAACGGGAAGGACGACAGCAAGAAGACCGAACACAATTAACTACAAACAGCAGGCACAAATCTCTCCTCTCTCTCTCTCTGCAGAGAGAAGCTGCCGATAACAGCTGTCCCACGACACTCAGACTGCACTAACCGGCACTAACCTAAGGCGAACCGAGCGGCTAACCTCCTATCTGACCCACAGGAATGGCGCTCAACATGTGAACGCCGCTTCTCCTTTGTTTGTTCATAACGTGGAGTCATGGAGTCATGGCGCTCAACCTGTGCCCAATGCAGTGAATCCCGCTTGACTTGCCATTACACTATACAATGTAACAGTGAAAGCAATGTAGCAGCGAATTCCTGGAACCAAACGTTGGAGGTGTCCGACACGGTTTCGAGACCAGTTCCAACACGGCACGGACACCGGTACATTGTACCCAAAGATCCTTGGAGAAAGCATCGAAAAGCCTCAGCGAAGACACTCAGCCTGAGGAAAACACTCGATCTACTACTCGTGTCCTGTCGATCTTGCGGCATCTGTTGCGGGTTCATGCCATACATAGCTGGTGGGCCTGGCACATAGCTGCGGGCGAAAAAGTAATCAGTCATGAAATAAACAGGTGTTTACATTATTAGACATGACAGGGAACATAGGCCCTTAGTCAAGAAAATAGGAGCACCTTCACGAACATCTGATTCCCCTAAATGTCTTCGACCTTTCTTTTGTGGGAAGGGGGGGTTCACTGACTGCATTGACAGGTTCCATTGGGTGAGCCCGCATGAGTTCAATGAGTTTCCTCCCATCTCACTTGGATCAAAGGAGACATCGCTGTGACAGCGATGCAAGCATACGGAAGGCACTATAGAATTGATCCAGCGGAGGTGGACATGTGGAACCTGAAAAAGAGAGCAAAACGGATGAAAGAAAAAACACAAACGCCAGAAATTCTGAAAGACATAATGAAAGACTGAACAAAAAGAAAGAAGAAGTGGAGTGGAATTCCATTGCTATTGATGGAACTTGATATGATTTATCCCTCACAGCCAAGGAAAAATCACCTTCTACCTGGGGCACCAGCTTCATCTTTGTTTGACAAAGTGCTCATGGCATGTCCTGTTTCTGTCAGACATGTGGTTGGTCTCAGTGGGGACCCCGAGATCCACCCCAACTGTAAACGGATGCACCAAGAGGCCCTGAAGAGTGGGCCAGGCCTCAGGCTCCACATCTTTAAGCAAAAAACAATATATAATATATGTAATGTATACATTGTGATCTGAACCTAGGTCCAAGCAGGAAAAAAACATAAATGGAAGTTCACCCAGTCATCATCATCTTGAAATTTAGCAACCTCCAAATGAGTCATTTGAATCCAGGCCTTGAGGATATCCCTGGTATCCGTGATATCCTTGTTGTGCGGCCTGTGCCATATACTGTTCCTGAGCTGAGTCTGGACCTCCCAAATGGCAGAAACATGAGGTCCAGGCAGAGCACCTAGAGGTTTCATCTATGTTTCGTTCATGACCTCACTGAAATTCCGGTGCGAAAGGCGCACCGAAGCACCTGGAACAAGGGTCGTCGGACCTAGTCAAGGGTCACCTGCAGGGACAGTGTATAACGGTAGTATATCATAATTACATCATATTACATATAATTATATATAACTATTATAGCTCTGCGACACAACAGAAGGGAACCCCAAACCACCTGCAACAGCATGCAACAGCTTGGTGGTTTTCCGTACAAATGTGTCACCAAACAAAAATAACATATAGAACTCAAAAAAACTGCAAACCTGCAAACTGTGTCCTCCCAGAACTCCCACACGGGGCACTCCCGAGGCTCGGGATGAAAGTCACCATGCCCCAACGTCTGCTGCATAAAGGCCTCGCAAATTCGGAACCGGCTGTCAACTCGCTGTTTCTCTGTGCATAGTGGGAACATGGTGGGCGTTTTTGTGAGCAATGTTGTTGTGTATCTATGTGTATCAGTATGACACATCCGGGGGTTCCACGCTGAAGGCATGCTTCTCCCAATCTGGCACATTCAAAAGCCTCGTATTGGACCCTCCCCTAAGTTGCCCTATCACCCCAAGTCTCAAGGGAATGCAGAATGCATGAAACAACGGGAGTCTTTATCTACATTGCTTGTGCTTGGAGGCGAGGGTGCCGGTTCCACTTCTCTTGCCGAAGAAAACCCAGCAAATGTGCAAGTCTTCCCGCCGTGCCCGCCTCCTGTCGCTGTCTTGTCTCCACCAACTCACGCATGGCGGCCTGCGATGGAAGGGGCCTAAAGGCCCTGAAGGCATATCGGAAAGGCGCGGCGGTGTGTCCCAGGCCGTTTATGGAGACAGGGACACCCTTCCATCTAGTGGTCCCATATGTCCCCAGATCATGTCCCTGTCCCACACTGTCTCCAGGGAGAGAACTTCTGGATCAGTCGTGGTGCCCGATGTTCTCAAACCCTCTTCCAAGCATATGCATGGGACTGCTCGGTGTTTTCGCTTGCAGCCAACAAGGAAGAGAACACCAACGACTGGATGGTTGCCAACCAAAAAACATTCAGCGAACCCAGTTGCCCTGGTCAGGCACCTGCACTTGGAGGAACAGGTTCGAGCTACGAACACGGCCGTTCCCGTTTCACTAGAACCTGTGCTCTAATCACATTGCTTGACCAATCTTGACGCACTGTTATACAAACGTGACGTAACTACTACTACTACTACTACTACTACTGCATTTTGTCAGTTCTCCTACCTGGGGTCATCCTGAGGGCCAAGTAGGACTCAAAAAAATGACGGTCTGCAGATGTCGCCTCTTGACTCTGCGCCTTCTGTGCCAGGCCACTCTGTGCATGATCCAGGTGTCCTTCGAAGTTCACGGAGAAAGGGTCTCTTCACCGATCGATTGGACCGAACTGCCTACGCCGCCGCCCGTCCACAGGGTCCCTCTCGTGACAGGAACCGATCGGCCGTCCACAAGTGAACTGGCCAAGCAAAAGAATTGCCACTGATCGATTTTGCTTTGAAGACATGTTTTTTTTTTCAACAGTTCCCCATGTCATTTTAAGGGCTCAAGGGTTTGAGGTCCATGTCAAAGAGATCATGGAGTTCAGCTGCTCGACAGCGGACCCCTCCTGAATAGGAGTTCAGCTGCTTGGTCATGTCATCGGCCAAGGCTGAGATCCTCAGTGGCTCTTCGGACTGGTCTTGGCCTTTGACTGCCCCTCTGTCTCCCTGGCTGCGTTTCTAAAGTCCCACGGAAAAATAGACGCTGATCAAAAGAAGTGCCACCTGTGAACGGAAAAAAGGAGCATTTCCCACACCAATCTGCACTTGGTGCAAACCTAGAAGTGACATCGTGGCTCATGAAGACCCAAACAGGGCAGGAGCATCAAGGTCTTGCAATTAGAACAGCTCATGATGATGTGACTTTTCTACACACTTAGTCTTCTTCATCCTGGCAGAGGGAGGGACACATTTCTACAAATCCCTCCAAGCCTACACACCCAGAACGTTTCAGTTGCAAGGAACTGCTGCAGTTCGTCGGCGGTGATCCAGTTCTCCTTGTCTTCCAAGCCCAACTGCTTCTCGATCCTGAGGGATCGAATGAGGAGAAGCTGTGGCTCTCTTGGAGTCCGAGAGTCAGGCTGTGGCTCTCTTGGAGCCCCCCCAGCTTAGCTGGTTCGAGACCCGTGGCGGTTCGAGAGCCTGGAGAGACCGTTGGGGCCGGAAGGCATCGGTCTCAACGCGAAAAAGACACGTTTAACAAAGGTGGGAACGCGGGAACGCCTGGTTCGTTGTACCCCTTCAAGATCCTTCAAGGCTCTCAGCGCAATTTGCGACGTGAGTGATATGTATGTCATTGTATAGATAAGATGTACTGTATAATTAATCTATAAGGCTTTATATATATATCTACGGTATATATACATACATGAGGCTTTGCCCCAAAGGGTGGCATTTTGGCCAGTTGTTCCCAATGGGGCTGTAAGGGTCCTTTCTTCTCACCTCTTGCATCGGTCGAACTCACCTCGAGGCCGGTTTCACGAAGTTGCCCGTATCTGGCAAAGCATTGGTGGCCACCATCGCTACAGGTGACGAGGCTAGCAGTTCTCAAAAAGAATGTACTCAGGCACAGTACGATGTATTATGAGCATGATTCTGCGCTTGCTAGCATATGCAAACGCGCCACGTGCGTACGCACGACGTTAACCCAAATAGACGATCTGATCCCTGAGAAACTTCTGCACATCCATCAATTTAAGTCTACGACCGTCATCGCGGTCTCGATTCTCGATTCCCACACGGACGAAAGCCAAGCGCTTGCGGACGTCCTTTGTTCCACACGGAGAAATCGCTCAAAAACCATCTTGAAGGTGAAACGCTGGTCAATAGAGTAGCCAAAAGGTGAACACATCCTCCGTGACTTAAGACAGAATGGTGGTAGCATCATCGAATGCGTAGAAACCTACACCACAAGTTCTGGTTGGACCAAACCCTCAGAAAAGTGATTCTCTGACTATACATGGTCTTTACCCGACATCGCTCCAGGTTCTGCTCAGAATCCTGATAATCCTGATAGGCCATGATTCATGATAGACCCCCGAGAAAAAACAGAACACGTTTTCATATGCATCAGGATCACGCATATGAAACCAGAATTAGTGTCGAGACGCTGCCTAGCTGTGATGAGAGTGCTTGTCATTTGGCACGTGGCATGACCGTGTGCAACTCCCCTGAGCAAACACGTAAAAAAATAACAAAACAAACGAAAAGGCACGCTTGGAACTCATTACCTCCAACTACGAGCCTGCTGGTGTCTGTTTCAACAAAGGCTTCAACGCTGTTAGGTGCAGCATAGAAGTGTTCGGTGGCCTTCGTTGGATGCGGCCGGCCCCCGTGCGGCTGACGTGTCCCTCTCCGCTCCGCTCGATCACTTCTTGGAGGTGAACATCGCCGCCTGCAGCCTCGCCGCCGCCTGCCGCGGAGGGCGGCACAAGCGCTTGAGGTCTGAAGTCGGGGTTGAAGATGGAGAGTAGGTGAGGTCGCCCAAGACAGAACCACCCAAGACTTCACGAACTTGGTGCAGACTTTACCACATTGACCTCAAAGTCTTGTACTGTCCTGATGCCCCTTCAGTGGAGGCAACCTTAGGTGCCTCCAAACAACTCACTTGGCTTTTGGCATTCACAACTACTGAAATATGAGGGCATATTGTGTATAGGGTAGATTGTGAGAGATCTTGTGGTGAAACTCATGGCGAGCTGATCCAGTTTCAGTTATAAAGCATCAAATATATATATATATATATATGTATATATATATATTGTATATATATATACAGATGAGTTCATCTGATGGGCTCAAAGTCCATTTCCTTGAATTTCCCCTCCTTCCAGGTTTGAATCTGCCTTCTTCACCTTGGAAGTGGCCTCCAGCTTGTCCTGCTGTCCGGTCCAGTCAGGGATTCTCACACAGCTCATAATGGCAAAAGTTCTGCTAGATACTGCTAGATCTGTTGGCCAAAATTGGAAATCATCAAGATATGATGAATCACCTACACTCCCCTCTTTGGGAAGCTCAGTAGTAAAAATCTCTTTCTCACCGTCTCATACTTCACTTTTCTCAACGTGTCCTCCTCCGTCGTACGATCGAGGAAACGGCCGTCGCCCGGTACTCCAACAAGGAAGCGCCCCATCGAGGGTGTTTCCATCTGCAGTCCCCAGCATCCCCGCGGCTCCCATCGGCTCCCGCGGCGGTCAGACATGCTCCAAAGCGGATGTGACATGTCGCACAGCTTCAGGATGTGGTCAAACAAAAAAGGAACTCCATGACAATCCCTTCCACTACATGTACGGAATTGCACCGACATGCACAGTCCTTCTTGGTCTCAGCTTTCTCCATCATAGAAGTGGCTGAGTCCTTAGACAAACGAGGCAGAGCGGTTTCTTCCATGGCTTGGGCAGAATGCCCCAATTGTCAGGGCTTAGCAAAAAATAGCAAGAATCCATACCGCACACACACATACACTTCAAATGGGATTGTACCCACTAACCGCTAACCTGCGTGTCTTCTTGCCACCTCTTCCCTCAGCCGTCGGACCAATTCCACACACCCAACCACAGTACTCCTAGAAAAATGGTCGAAGGGTTGCGCTATAGGCTATAGGCTGCTATACTATAGTCTATACTTGGTCGACACTCCACGCAATGCGACCAGCGAACAACCAATATAACCTTTCAATTGAATTCGGACATGCATGACAGCAAGAAAGTGTGCTTGCCTCACCAGTTTTTTCTGTACACATCCAATTCTCACTGATCCTCACCTCACCCACTCCAACTACGACTTACAGCTAACATGTCAAGGAATGGCCGCAAAATCCCCCAATCCTCATTGCAATCAGGCTGGTTGCCGTCCAGGCCATCCGAGCTGCCGCAACCCGGCACCACCGCCCAGGGCATCCCCCTCTCCGGAAACAAGGAGACGAGCCAGACGAGGCGCCAGCTCCTTCTGGGCGTCTTTCACATCGATCTCATCGGCCTTCTCAAAGTCATTCACCAAGACCTCGGTTGACCGACGCAGCGTCGGAAGCTGACCGAGGTAATTCACTGGGAGCTGCGTAGCAAAGTCTTTCAGAGAAAGTCAACAACGAATTGGGCTCTGTGGAGCTTCAGGGTGTGGAGCTTTTTTCTGCAGAGTGTGAGCAGCAAACTGATCAAAAAGACTTTAACTGACAGCTTACTCAGCAAATCACTAGCCTGCATAGAGCAAACAGAACTAGAACCTTTAAAACAATGTATTGTGTAATATATATGATATTGTTATAACGTATATATATATATGTATGTATGTATGTGTATATATATATATATGTGTAAATCTCTATGTCAATGGATGTCAATGGAGCATAATGGAGCAGCTTCCGGCAAGGAACCGTGTACAAACCCTGACTTCTGCCGGGAAACTCGGCACGTCAGTCGGCCCAAGAACCCCAAGGTTGCCCAAGTCGGAACTCTGCAGTCAGGTGTGGAGTCGTGTAGGTCTTTCCTTTACAATGCAAACCGGCATGTTTTGACGACCAACCAACCGTGGAACGCCACTGCGAACTCAGGAGCTGAGAGCTGGTTGGAGTCCACCGTGGCAAAGCCACCCAAGACCACCACGGGCTTCCAGGCCCCATCCTTGATAGGGCGATGTTCGCCAAACGCGATGCAACACGTCGCTTTGGATGGCCTTTAAATACAGGAACGGAATAGGAACGGAGAAACTTGAGGCAAAGGTTCTTCACGCAACCCAAGCGAAGTTCATGTCTTCTGTAATTATCTATCATGTCTCCCTCCCTCGCTCCCTCCCTCCCTCTCTGTCTCTGTCTCTGCCTCTCTCTCAAAGTCAGCCCACGCTAATTGGTGACTTACTTCTCCACATGCTAAACTCATCCAAAATCGTTGACTCGTTGACCCTTGCGGAAGCCACTGCCTACTGCTCTCCTCGCAGAGCCTCGCAAGCCCGCCCCTCCGTGGGTCTAACCTCTCCTCGCCTCCTTGTATCGCAGCACGCCGGTGTCCAAGGCCGACATCATGGGCGCGTGGTTGGCCAAGATGCCTCACACCCAGGTCCGCTCCGTGAAAGACGCCCGACAGGTCCCTCAAAACCTACCAATTTTAGACCCCAAACCCGGTCCGACCCCTCCAAAGGGGCATGTGCTTTTCTGCTTTTTGAAGGACTACCTGGTGCTGCACCAAACACAGCCCCATGTGTATCTGGTGCAAGCCAACGAGGAAAACACACTCTTTGCGATTGGCAAATGTGAAAAGTTAGTGCCGATTTCGCAAATCCTGCCGTTGTGCTATCCACCTTGCCTGGCATCTTACCTTCATCATTATCCCTCAAAACTAACATAGAAACCGTCAAACCACCCCAACAAAAGGGCGATCATCTTCCAAGTAGTGAACTCCGGCAGGTCCATCAGTCCATCCCATCCACTTTTCTTGATCCCAAAAGTGAAGGTATCAACCTGCATCAACCTCCTCCCACCTCTTCTTGGTCTCTATAAGAGCTGCACTTTGGCTGGTCCCTTCCCTTCTGCCCAGCCACCCAGCTGCCCGGTGGCCGAGGGCAAAATCACCTCCGAGCAGGCCACCGTGATGCCATCGCCCTCCGGTGAGAGGACCTTGAGCTTCAAACCTCGGGTCGACCGACCCGAAGACACCGCGTCGAGAAGGGGGGCAGAAAGGAGGTTTCGAGCGGGCTGGGGAGGCCAGGGCTGGGGCTGTTCGCGAGGCTGGGCTGGGTGGGTTTCAATGTTTGGTGAATGTTTCAGATCCTGCAATGATCCACTGCCGGCGTTATGCACATGAAAATACACACATATATATATATATATTATATGTGTGTACACACAAAAATAATTAAGTATATATACAAAGCATGCATACCAAACAATGAGCGGATAAAGAACGTAAAGAAGTGATATCAAAACAAACACACACACACACACTCACTCACTCACTCACTCTCTCTCTCTCTCTAGACCTCTAGACCTCTATAAATCTACCCACTTGGTTCGCTAGTGAGGGCTGGTGGATGACTATGTTTGGTAGAATCCAACGTTGAAGCCTTACTCCAGTGGTTGTGGGACGAACCTCAGTATCTGGAATTTGTCTCACAGATTCCCAAGCTTGAGACACATCATATAAACACAAAAGCATACAAATCTGACCAACGACTGGGGTTCTCCACTGTTCCCACTGCCATCGGTGTCCATCATTCTTAGATGTTCTGGGGTCTCCAGCACATATTCAAACCAAATTGTTGGACATGGCCTGCCACGAGGGTGGGGGCACCCACTTCAATGCATAGTATTAATAGTCCTTGCAAAATGGGATTAACAAACATAAAGACACATGAATCATGTATAAGTTATGTTTATACAAGCCACCTTGGTGCACTGATGCTTGGTAAGTGTCATCAAAAGGCGACTGAGGCTGGGTGGTCCATTAAAAAATGTAGTTATATCACTTCGGAGGCCTGATGTGTGCATCTCATTCGCCAGCAGCACAAAGCAATACAATGCATTATATATTTGGTGGAAACACCTGCTAGGCCTTCATGCAACTATCTTCGGCCCAAGATGGCGGGGGGTGACTTGCTACTAGATTCGTAGACTAGCTCACCTGGAAGCAGCAGGCTACAAGCCACTGCACCTCGCCCTCCAAAAGAACAAAATCGGTCTCCCCGGCACTGTCCTGACTGAAAATAATCATTCCGGAATCGGATTGGCATTCATTTGCTAATCTCGGCCCAGTGGCCCAGTGGATGGTGATTTACAAAACCGTCTAAAACAGGGCCTCAACAAAAAAGTGAGGCTTGTGTTGGACTTGTTGCATGCAGTGGGTAAAAACAACATCGCACCCCATCTTGCAAACGAAACGTGGTCGCTGCCAAAGCCTTGCCAAGTCCTGTACTCCGCAAATCACGTGAGCAACCGGCAAAAGAAAAATAAACACTGAAAAGGATTCAGAACTGTCAGGAACTCCGGTCCTCGTACGTTGCAAAGAAAACCGCTGACTTCCCCTCGATCCATCCATCCACATCCACATCGAGCCACGGTCCCCGGCCGCCGCCACATACTCCTCACCCTCCTCGCCCTCCGCGCGCCGCGGCAGCACGCTGCGTCGGGCTCGGGGCGTGGTGCCCACGAAGGCGCGCTGGGCGAAGAGGGCCGAAAGGCCGAAGAGCCTCAGTACCAGGACCGGCCTCAAGGAACCACCAGAAGCCGGTCCGACCGGCGTTTTGGAGATGGTCAAGTGGTTCTCTTGGAGCAAAGCACTCCCAAGGTGCCGGTCATGAGTCACGCAGCATCATGTTTGTGCTAACGGCTCTAAAACCGTACGTGCGTTTTTGCGTTTTTTGCTTCTTGGATGTTTTGTGCACTTTCCCAGAATATATATGTATGCGTCTATGTTGCATCTTGACGTTGCGTTCACACATATAGGTTAACGTTGCACACTGGGTTGGATGCTACGTTGTGCTATATGCTGGTGACGTTGCACGGGGGGGGGGGGGTGGGGGTGGGGGGGGGCATGTTGACGTTCCTGTGACGTTGCATATGTATGTATATTTCTGTGCATGTGAATATTTTTTCTCGGCAAAACAGTTTTCATTACTGTGTGAGCATTGCTGCCTTCACGATGCATTTCATGTTTTTTAAACCTGTTTCGAGCGGTGGCATGTTCTGGAATGTTTGTGCGCGGATAAATTGTTTCTTGCTGCTGGTTGCGGCTCTCAGGATGAATCAGTTTTTCTGCATTGCACTGTGCCTCACTTATATTCTTCTCTTGCGGATCGCCCGTTTTCCACGTCCTCTCATTTCAGGTTTCGAATCTGTTCTCGAGGTTTTGTGGGAATCTCCCATCCTCTGGTTGGACGACTTTGTGAAAAGGTTCCGATCGAATCGGTGAACATGTGTGTTTTCTCAGGTTTTTTCGTGTTTCAAGCGAATTTTGCTCCAAGTTTTGGACACAGAATTTCCGATTTACAAGAGGTTCCAAACCCTCGTTTCCATTGTTTTTTGCAGTGGATTTGCAACACCTCTGAAGTTGGCGTGCTAAAACGCACGCGCGGTTTTAGATCCGCCGGGATGTTTGTGGGATCTCTTAGTTAAGACTTAAGATTTGTTGATTGATGCTAATGATGTATTCCAATATGTGCCGTGGGTGTCCTGGTGCAGGTGCTTCTGTTTTTGCAATGTTGATGTGCTTCGAACTTGTAACGGGCGGGAGTATGAATATGCCCATTCTGAAGAGCTCCGGGGTGCAGGGTTGTCCAAACTGACCAATGTCAATGCAAAACAGTTTGCTAAATTGAACGATCCGAAACATGTGTGTATATATATATATGTACATGGATACAATAAAAGCAAGTAAATATGTATCTATATATTAATATATATATATATATTTATTTCTTTTATAGAGACAGAGAGAGGCAAAGAATGCATATATACTTATATCTACATATATTGAGCGAGAGAGAGTCTAGAGTCTTAGAGAAGATTTATCACCTCCCCTGCTAAGACAACCCCACCACTTTCTCGTGGTCGAGAAGCATCAAAGAGAGCATTGACATGCGAGCCATGGCAAGCGAATAGTGTCGGCGGGCTCTCTGGTGGCTACGGCTTTGGCGGCTGGAGAAGAAACAGGCGCAGGCGCAGGTAAAGAGGACATCATACATGAAGTTAACCATCAAAAGAAATCAGAACAAATCAACGGTATGACTGGCACCGTTTCGGCCTCCTATGTTCTCAACACTTGAAAGTAAAAAAACATGTCCTCGAATTGGACCCTTCTGTAGGAAGCCCGATGGGGAGGGTGCAGGTCAAGGCGTGTCGCCTAAATGCCATGACCTTTCACCTTTTCGATCCAATGTCATCGGCCCTCCCAGTCTTTCATCTGACTGTTTCAGACCATTCAGGCTCTAGTCATCAGATGTGCATCTTGCGGGGGAAAACATATATAGACACCACCAAACCCTTCTTGGTCCTATCATGCCATATCATTCCTCCTGGCTTGAAGTGAACAAGTTGAATCAAAGACCTCTGGTATCCTCTGATCCCGGGTGAAGTATCAAAAAAACTATTTATCGCATCAAGAAAAACTTATTCAAGGGGATCAATAAAAGAACTAAATACTTAATCAAAAAATAATAATTCTACCACGAACCCTCTTTGGGCTGGGCGTCGGCCTGTATACTAATCTCTTTCCTCCTGCCTGGCCTCCTGGCTAACAGGCAGTTTCCGCTCAGAGTCGAAATTCGTGGCAGGAATCTTGTGGCACAGGGGGGGTTGGGGGAGGGGGACGCGCCTCCCCCTATGAGCAGACACGGCTAACACTTTCAGGTATGCGCTACATTATTCTGAACTAACGTGAGTGATTAAATGTTTGAAGGTTTTTTCTTTTCTGATTATTGGAGTAATTTCATTCTATTTCATACATTTTGTCAATTCTTTAATGCAGAATATTAAATCATTTTTCCTGTCTCTTCCTGGCTTTCTGACCTCTTTTTTAGAACAGCAGCAGCTTTAGTTTTTAAAAGCCAAGTTTCCGCTCAAATCTTCCTGTGTGTCACAAAAGGGTGAGTCAAGTTGAAATGGCAACATCCTTCTCCAAATTTTATCCCTGCATGGCCCACAAAAGGGTGAGTCAAGTTGAAATGGCAACATCCGGGTGGCTCACCAAAGGGTGAGTCAAGTTGAAATGGCAACATCCTTCTCTAAATTTTACCCCTGCATGGCCCACAAAAGGGTCAGTCAAGTTGAAATGGCAACATCCTTCTCTAAATTTTACCAAAACGGTGAGTGAACTTGGCATAGCCACTTCCCTCTCTAAATTTTACCTCTGCATGGCCCACAAAAGGGTGAGTCAAGTTGGACTGGCCACTTCCCTCTCTAAATTTTACCCTGCCCACGAAAGGGTGAGTCAAGTTGAAATGGCAACATCCTTCTCTAAATTTTACCCCTGCATGGCCCACGAAAGGGTGAGTCAACTTGGCATGGCCACTTCCCTGTCTAAATTTTAGCCCTGCGTTGCCCACAAAAGGGTGAGTCAAGTTGGGGTGGCGAGTGAATGAGTGAGTAAGTCATGTCACTGAGTCAGTGACGAGTGTCTGAGAACGAAAGTGAGGGAACGAGTGATTCGGTCAGCAATCAAAGGAGTGAGTGAGGGAGTGAGTGAGTGAGTGGGAGGGTGGGTGGGTGGGTGAGTGGGTGAGTGGGTGAGTGGGTGAGTGGGTGAGTGGGTGAGTGGGTGAGTGGGTGAGTGAGTGAGTGAGTGCGTGAGTGCGTGAGTGCGTGAGTGCGTGAGAGTGAGTGAGAGTGAGTGACAGTGAGTGAGAGTGAGTGAGAGTGAGTGAGAGTGAGTGAGAGTGAGTGAGTGAGAGTGAGAGCGAGAGTGAGTTTGAAGCAGCGCATCCCCGTGTACAGACGAGGTATATCATTCGCGTGTACAGATGAGTCACTTTTCGCGTGTACAGACGAGGCGCCGGCCTCCTACCTGGATCCCTTCTTTTCTTCCTTCCCTTCCCTTCCCTTCGACGAGGTGACCAGGGACCAAGGGGACCAGGGGACCAAGGGGACCAAAGGACCAAGGGGACCAGGGGACCAAGGGGACCAGGGGACCAAGGGGACCAGGACGACCATGTGGACCAGGAGCAAGCATACAAGAGACGGGAAAGGAAACTAGTTATTTTTTGATTAGTTAATTAATTTGTTTTTGATTACGTAAATAACTTTTTTTGATTCAGTAATTAATTTCTTTTTGATACACATGCCCTGATCCCTCCTATTCTCGCTTCTGCCAAGCTGGCCAGTCGTTATTCCAACTGATGTGGACATGAATTTGGATTGTGCTATGCCGACACTAGCACATCTTCAACTTTGTTTCTGCACGTCCGTCTGCCTACTCCCAATCATACGGAGTGTTCTCCAATGACCCCTTGACGGCCATTAATAGATATATTATATATATATGTAATGGCATGGCATGGCCCCGTTGGAAAAGATCCGTGTCCACACAGTCATTGTATATAGTATTCCGCATCGATCCCATGGTGTGCGGTTACTCCTGAAAGTGCCTCGACATCCCTCAACCAATCGGAGACCGGAGTTTTCCTCGTCCTTCTCCAGAAATCCTGGACAACATATAAAAATAAACACTATTCTTCGGACAGGCTTCTCTCTCATTTCTTCCACCAACATGGCGGCCGCTTCGTCCGACTGTTTGTTCACCGTATCCACCTCGAGCCCAGCAGGAAGAAGCAACCACCGATGCGGGTCGGGAGCGGAGGGATGGAAGACGTGAACATGGTCAAACGGAGAGTTCAATAGACATAGAATGAAATAGATGTTCCCTCCCGTTCCCTCCCCTGTTTGAACCGATGTTTCTGGGTGAAGATGAAGTCTGCACCCCTCCCAAAAGATCTAGAGCTCAGGGACAAACTAACTACAGATTGTTCCAACTATTTCCATAGTACCGCCTTAGTGCATCAACATCTTGCCCTGCGCATCGTCAACACCCGTCGGACCCCGTCGGTTGGTGCGTGAGTTGGTGCCACCTGCCGAAGTAGATCTTTCGCGTGATCGATCATCTCATCACCCAGCTTCTCACCTTGAGCTGTTGAGCAGGAACTCCTTTCTTCACTGGTAAAGAGGAAGTGCAAGGATGGTGATACCAAATATATAGATAAATAAATAGCTATTTATAGATTAATATAGCAAAAGTGTAATTTCATTGATGATATGATAAAACACGATTGATCAATTCACCGGTCTACTCACGATTCGTGTGCAAAATTTAGATATCTTTTCCTCCGACTTAAGGGGCAGCAGCAAATTCGACGAAATCTAGGGCGAGTCATGGGTGCTCGCTTCTCTTGAGAAGCGTAGTCATGGCACAGCACCTCTCCGCCACAGAACAATCACCGACATGGCTGTGCATCATGGCACCAGACCGGTTGACCTACGGGGGCTCACAAAGGGTTCGAGGTTTCGACCCATCCCCACAGCTGAAGGCATGATGATATGGCTGGCCGTGACGGTCAAGGCGGAGCACCCTGGAGCCCGACAACCACTCTGTGGCGCGAAGAGACCGACATCCACAGACCCAAGCGGCTGTCAAAGTCAGGCCCAGCTGGTCCTAAGAGCCAGAGAGGGAAGAGATGTTCCCAAAGAAATCATTGCAACAAAGAACATTACTGAAAGTTCTTAAACAGCAACCGTACTTGTTTCCAACTCCTTGACTGTGGCCAGAACATCCACCCAAGATCACCCAAGCATGTCCATTGCGTTCATCTTCACTCTCTTGGAAAATGTTCCGGGCCATCCCGCAGGACAGTCCCCGCCGAGCAACTCCCAGCAACGCTTTGATGGCCTATAGAAACCCGTCTAAACCCCTCGCACCAGGGTTTTAGTCTCTATCATTGTCTTATACACATGTATCTTACGACAACACCAAGAGAGATCTGTCACAAAAAAGGTCCATGTGGAAGTCCATGTCGCAACCAGTTAAAGCCACTGCAAACCTCTCTCCGTCCTCTCCCCTTCTGCCCAGGCACCTCGTGCTCCGACCGGTCCTTTCGGGCCCTGTGCCCCAGGCGGTCCATGAGGCCCAGGGCTCCCCTGCGGCCCAGGAGGGCCGCGGCGCACACCGCCCGGGGGGCCCTTAGGGCCCACAGGGCCGGCTGGGCCCGTGTAGCCTGGATGGTGGAAGGATCAGACCGATGTGGGCGTGGTGAGGAAGGGTTCTCCTTAGTGGTCATGAGTCATGATGTATCTTCAATCTGGGGAACTTTGGGTTTCGGAATGTGTTGGTGAAAGAACAAACCACAGGGTAACACCGGTTTGCTTATGGAATTTGCTTGGCTTCACTTACACGCGAACCGTAAACTATGATGACAGTTATCTGGGTGAGGATCTGAGTCAGGCAGCTCGATAATTTCGATAGTTCTCTAGTTCTTGGAACTTGCCCTCAATCTCCCAGCATGTGATAATCCACCGTGGCAAAATCTTTTCCTCGGCTCAGTCCTGTTCTGTTAGAAAAGATGGGAACAAATGTGGATCACCAATTTGCTGACTGTGACTGTTCACATCACGCCTTGAGGTCCTGGTGGCCCCTGAGGCCCAGGAGGGCCACGGTAAAGTCTCAAGTCCTGGAATAAGCCACCGTGGCGGTGTCCAGTCTCGGGCGAAGAACGGACGAATCACAGTCAGTTGGATTCGACAGTCGGCTTGGCTCGATCGTCAGTCGCTTGGATCGATCGACTGATGAACAAACTACAGTATACTAGTCGAACGTGGAAAATGAAACAGCCACTCAGTAGCCAAGTTCAGGATTAAAAGAAATGAACGTCTTGTATCGTTAACATGGCGGCTCCGCCGTCCTAAAGGTTACAAAATCCAGCAAAATCATGTGGTTGGACCCAATGCCACACTGTCAGTCACACCAATCAAGGCCCATGGATTTCTTGCACGAGCACCACCCCCTTGTAGCAAAAAGAGGTTCATTAAAACCTCTAAACAGCCTTCCAAAGACCAACACCCTCAAACATGTCCATTGATTGGGAGCAGCGTGGCTGTGCTGTTT